CCACTTTAAGAGTGCCCCCTCTCGGTTCCGGTGCTCAGTCAATGCCTCCAAGCACCAACTGTGGCGGTCTGAGTAATCAAGAAGCACAGGGGGGGTGGGGGGAGGAGTTGGAGAGGATGGCCACGAGGGAGCCGTAAAAGAAGACTGAATTTGATATTGGTGCAGACCACTATGCTCCCTTAACAAAGTGCTGGGTCAAGCAGGGAGATCTTTTGATCTAACTGCTGGCTCAAGGAGGGCCCCCTGTCTGTGCCCACACCCTAAGCGGCCAACTGGGTCACCCTATGGGCAATCCATCTCTGCCAAAACGCCAATAATTCAAACTCACAGCAATATGTTGAGTACATGTCTGTCACAGAGCTTCAATAATGTTCCTTCTTGGGACACTTAAAATGATGTAATTAGACTTGCATGGAAGTTAGAGGTTTACTTCAACCAAACATTGTGTTTTAATAAAACAATGCTTTAGGTTGGAGTAAACCATCTTGGCAAGAACTAAATAATAAACTTAATAGATAAAATAAACTTTACTTGAATCCTACGCCTAAGTTAAGTTCTCCTTTCAACTCACTCCTTCTCTGGTGCCCTCACTTCCCCTTTCCCAGATAATGAATGTCAGGAAGACAGGTTGAGAGGAGGACATGGGTGGAACGTGGAATGGAAAATTAAATCGAACTGGCTTGTCCATTCTCCAGTTTGACTTAGTCATAATTCGGTCATATGGTGGTTCGGAGTTACAGAATTCAGAAAAACTGCTTATTTAGACAAAATGCAATTTGGGGCGAACCATATGCACAAGTCTAGTGATTATCGCCACTATCACGGAGATGTTCGATGCACGTTATAGTTGGGTTTTTCTGTTGACAAGAGGTGCAGAGTTTATATCAGTAAGTGCCAGACAGCTGAGGTGGAGGTGCTGTGTTCCTGACTAGAGGGATACAGTGGTGTGGATTTCTACATTTAATTCTATTTTTCAGGCCTCACAAACACAGAGCTTAAGTAAGCATAATATTAAAAATCCTACTCGGGTAGAACTCCGGTTTCTTTCTTGTCTTTCTAGTGGAGATATGTATGGCCAATGGGCAGAGGACATTATTAACCCCATACATTGCCCTTGTTCCGTTGACCAATTTCTCATTTACTCACCATCTATGCCCTACATACAATGCAGGTGACTTTGTATAAAAATAAGCTTGTTATCACATGCAAATTCACCTTCATGACATAGATTGAAATGTTGCATAGTGCTGGTGGTATCCAAAACCGCTCTCCCTCTGGAAAATACCCTAACCTTTGTTTCTCAAAAGGCTGCTCTTCACTTTAGTGCTTATGGTGCTTTTAACCTTCCTTTAAGTTGTGCAGTAGTTTCCTTCATGCCTTTTCATCAATAAAACTACTACACACCCTATTTATAGGAAATTCTCAGCACTGCTATGGAGGAGAACTGAGGGGCCACGTATAGAAACATAGAAAATCTACAGTAAAGAGGAGCATAAGTGCTTTATTAAACTCAATTATGGCCGTACAAAGTCATTTCAGGTTTCTGCCCATATGACCGCACCTTCAGAGCACTCTCACACATATAGCACAAGCTTGCTGCCTGGCTGGCTGGCAAAATTGTGTGCCACACTGGTAGGCATGGGCAGGCCTCCTCTTTGGCCACTACCTCTCCTGTCCCATTGGCCATCATCAGGACATCACTGATTGCAAAAAAAAAGGCACAGTCTGTTATAGCTGTGATTTTAACAAAAACAATAAAAATATAGTGCTTTGGCCTCAAACAGTTATATAATACTTTTAGCTTGATACAGATGGCAAAGAAATTCACCATATTTCTTACACAGAACAGATTTTTGGCACTTTCCTTGCAAGCCTTATAAATCTTCTCCTAACCAGAATGATATTTTACTAAACGTCCTTCCAGAGATCTTTCATCTATTTTAAAATTAGCCTGCTGTTACATTTCCGTCTCCTTAAACTATTTTACTGATTAAACAAAGTATGAGTTAATGTCTTTAATCAGTACCAGAACCTATATGATTTGCCTGTGGATTTTAAAGGAAAAATATTTATATGATGTCAGCATAATATTCCTTAACCTGGCTTGCATCTGCTTCCATTAACGAGGACGTACTGATTCTATTCATTTATTAAAACATACTTCCTGTTCTTAGTATAACATAATGTATCAAAAAGGAGTAATCTCTGTCTGTAGAGACAAACGGGCTGTCTTTATAAATGTACTGTCTCTGCAAATGCAACAAATTTGTAGTAACATGTTACCGCTTTGTTAACTTTGATTGACACCTAGGCGCTAAAGATGCGATCTTTGCACATCACCTGTCATGCCTTAAAAAAATATATTTACATTTGCATTCAATATATATTTTATCAACAAGAATGACTGTTACAGGTTTTAATGAACTCATACATATTTTGGCGTGCATGGGAATGAGAGCATGTTTAATGGCCTGTTCCAGGCATCATAACCACTAACGTGTGCTAGTGTTAATTTTTGCAGCAAATTTCAATTTAGTTTTAGTCATAGTCTTTTGACTAAAAAGCCATTTTAGTTTTAGTCGTATTTTAGTCATCTGAATTGTTTTCGTTTTAGTCTAGCTTTAGTTGACTAAATCTCTGGTAGATGTTAGACAACAAAACTAAAATCTAATGGGTTTAGTTAAAGGCTCTACCTGTCTCTTTTGCCTAAAAAGGCATTTTAGTTTTTCATGCAGCCTGTGTCAATCACAGCCAGCGGAGGTATTAGTTGCATGGACAGAAAAAAAAGTGATTTAACTTCTAAATGGCAGAAACTTAAGCAATGAGACTTCAGAGGAATCATCTATATACCAAAACTGCTTCATTAAGCTAAAGTCTTTTTTGTGACTAGAGTGTCCCTAATTACATTGGTGTGGAGTACTCTAAGCATCCTAACCACTACATTGTGCTGTAGTAGTTATGGTGCTTGGTGTGTTCCTTCAATGCCAAAATACGCAAAATTGTTGTCAAAAACAATCCTACGAATATTAGCCCAACATCGATTTGCATGAATGAAATGGTATTTGGAGACAAGAAAGTTTAATGTAAGTGCAAACTCTTGGATGAATATCAAATGTTCAAATGTTATGCTTTCAAAACGCGAATTATCTTGAGGTAAGTGTCGATTGATGTGACTCTCATTATAATTCTATGAACAGAATGTGCTTTCTCATTGAATGTAGTTCTTTTACAATGTAACTACTTTACAAAGTTAGTCTTTGAGCAAATGTTGGACTTTGTGTTTTTCCAATGGCAGTCTGTCAACGAATGTTGAATTTAGTATATTTTCAATGCACATTCGTTCTGCAAGGCTGTTTTACTGTCTAATTGTATGTCTGTAAACACAATGTTTGTTTTTAATGAAGTTTGTAGGGACATTTTCAGTCTTTTTAAAATTGGATAATGAGACAAATGTATGGCATCTGGTACAAATCTATGAGGTGAATGTACGTTATTTTGATAGAGTATTTGATTTTTCTCAGTTTTAGTCCATGAGATACAAAGCAAACAAGGGGGATGGTGCTTACCTCAATAGAGAGCACTATTGGCCTTCTTTTTGTCATTTCATATGTTCCACTCCATCATCACTCTGCTATGAACAGTGCCTGAAGAATATTCTGCAAGTGGGGATACAATACCACTGCATGCTGTTTTATCCAGAGCTGGTTACAGCTCTACTAAATGTGAGTTGGAATTTTTAGACCTTTGTGTCGTGTCTTATTTATTATACTACCATATTTGCACTATTGGTCTCCTCCTATTTTTGTTCTTTTCATATGCTGCTATTGACCGAAGTTGCCCCCACAAGCATTTTACAAACAATAAATAATTGAATATTACTACTTTTAAGACTGTGTCATACTACCTGGTATTTTTATTTATACTGTTATTGTTGGACTACATTATAGACTATTTTTTTAATTGTGTTTTTTATTGTGTTTTTAGAGATTGTTTTTAGATCTCTTATCCTGCTAGAGCTCTTATCCTGCCCATTCTCCTCGGCGCTACGTATTTTCTGTTTTGCTTGTTAAGTCCTTAAGATACTACAAGTACTTTCACCCTAATATAATGTCAATATCTATCATTATTCTTTGTTTAATGTCGTTCTTCCCTGTTGTAAATTGTAAGCCACAATTTTCGAACTAGAAAAATTGTCTAAGTCAATTAGGTTTGCAGTTAGGCTATTGTGGCCTAAAACTTGAAATTCACTTAGAATTTTTAAACAACTCAGACTTCAGTGAATAAGCCTGGAAGCCTTCAAGAAAAATAGACTTGTTTTATTGATATCATCATTCTAACAGAAATAGATACACAAAGATCTATTGAATACAGGGACATTGGCAGCTAGGCAAATATCTTCAGCCATTCTCCCCACCTGGCTTCCACTCGGAAGAATGGCTACACTATACATGAATTCAGAGTACATTTAATACTAACAGGGCTATCCACTAAAGTGAGAATTTAAAGTGAATTCTAAAATTTTAGAACAAAGTAACCAAACTGGAAGCATAGTTGACTGAGAATTTTTCCAAATTGTCTATTATGGCCTTAAATTTGAAATCCACTTTGAATTCTTGCTTTAGTAAAACCCCCCTTGAGTTCAATCTGATAGAAAATCTCAGGAAAATATTTTACTGACCCGTGTGTCTGTAATGTACTTTAATGGATTGTTCCTTCTTTGACTTTCTTACCGTCTGTTTATCTAAGAGTAAATACATTTCCATTTAAATAAAGTGAGTACTGTTGCACTCTATCTCTTACTCTTTAAACAGTATCTTACTAAAAGCATTAATTCCTAGTCAGTCAATATGGTACATTCTAGCCTCCGAAGATGCTATTGCAAAAAAAAAAAAAAATGTTTAGTAATGAAATAAAGAGATAATGGTCATATTTATATATATGTATTTGCAAAAAATACCTTGAAACATTGTTGACGGTTGTATTAACCATTTGAACGTTATGGTAATACAAAATGTTGTTCAACTGCACTTTAACCAATCCAAGTTATATTGATTTTACAATTAAAGGAGTCCATCAAAAGCTACCTTTCACACCGTTTGATATAGCCATTATTTTTGCTCTGCAATATGGTAAGCTAGGGTTCCCGGAGGATTTAACACTGGAAGGATGCAACAAAAGGAGCGAGAGAGAAAAAAAAAAGATATAATCCTTCCTGTTCCCTCCTCTTAGTCACAGCAAAACATAACGTTCTACTATTTTTGGATTGTAAAAAGGGCCTCCCTTTGAAAGCAGAAGGCTGTGCATTCTAAATGACATCACTTTGCATTCTAAGGCTGAGTGCTCGATGTTAACATGTCAGTGCATAGATTATTTCTTTTCTTCTTCACTGCAAGGCAGAGGGACATTTCCAATCACACAGCAGCACAGCACTTCACTATCCCCGTCACAGCACATTGATCCCCAGACAAGCTGCAGGTTCCTAAGGAGATCACAGAGGTGCTATAAAAGAAGAACGAGGCAGACACAGAAACAAAAACCCTTAACAAAAAAACAAAAAATATATAATAAATTTCTTTTTAAAAACACCTTCTACCGGGCTGACAAATAGAGAAAGACACTGCAGAAAAAAAAAAATAATATATCCCAGTTAATGGTCTGGGATATCCTTTTCACTGGCTGGAATCAGAGAGGATGGAGAATGGCAGTGGATGCCCTAGAAGAATTGCCTTTTTCTTGTGTGTCTTATTTCTACATTTCCTGAATAATGGGATCGAAGGAAGGAAACCGGTTAAATCGAAATGCCCTAACTGGTGTACCTGTACCAAGGATAATGCTTTATGTGAAAATGCCAAATCCATCCCTCGACCCTTCCATCCTGATGTTATCACACTGTAAGGGCTGTAAGCATTCGCTTATTTTACTGTATGATGTGGTGTATTGTTTGTTTGTTTGTTCTTTTTTTTATAACCTGTTCATCAATTCCATGCTTGTATTGTGCAGGTTTTATCCCATTGCATGCCAGTGTGGGGGATGGGGGAGTAAGTAACTCATTTACACAACATTGTGGTACCCAAATATTTAAATTTATTTTGCCTTCAACAAGCTGCATTACAACACAATTTATAGAACCTTAACTACATCAATTCCAGGACTTCTATAAAGCTGGTTTAACCCCCTGGGTGCTAGCAGGGGTGATTAACTAATTTACTCATCTCTTTGGCACTTAGACATTTAAATGTGTTGCCTTTTAAAATCTACATTAAAGTACTATTAAAACGATCCTATTTCCTATTGAATTAGGAGCGTTTATCCCTTATTGTGCCTTAGGGTGACTCATTTGCTCATCCCAGTGGCACCAAACATTTAAATGTATGCTGCCGTCTACAACCAACATTAATTTTTTTTTTTTTTTTTACTTTTCCATTTGTCATATCCATATTAACATTTTGTTTGGACATCTGAACACCTCATTAACCTTTTTATACCAAAGGGGTGAGCAATGGGTTGTTCATGCCTCTGGCACAAAAATGGTTACACAACGCTTATTTTTTTTCTTCATATATAGATACTTGCACCAGATGGTGCTAGGGTTAAAATGTAATTTAAAAAAAAAAAATTTTTTGTGTGTGGGTGGGATTATTTTTTTTTAAACATTTTTTTTTTTAATGTTATTGCCAAGTAAGATTTTTTTATATTATTTTTTATTTTTACAGATCACTTGTGAGATCTGAATTTACCGAGATCCCAGAGGGGAGTTTTTTACATATACCATCTCTGCAGATCATGTAAGAATCCCTTCTTTCATAATCTAATGATGCCTCTGTGCGCTGTGCACTTATGGGTGATTGAAAGGTAAAGCCGTAAAATCTTCATTTAATCTATTCGAACGCGGTTGCGTTTTTAGCATTTGAACTGCGGAATGTTCAGGACTCCATCTTGATTAGAAAGAATATAATGTGCCCATGTCAATGATATGAGTGTGGTAGAGGGTATATACACTGCATCTTGGTATTGAGGTTAAGGAAGCAGAGTTCTCGTATTCATTACATTAGCTACTGATACTTAAACACATCTATGGATTGCTATAATAAAGCATTTTAACCAGTGCTGCAATCTATACCCAACTCCTTTGTTTTAATGTAAAAGCAGCACGCTACAAACTGGGATTTATGGACAAGTAAAATGATTGAATTGCCTCTATATCTCTGGGCTCTTAAACAGGATGCATCTAAGGGGCACCACTTATTTTAGTCATACATGCAGCATACATGTTCCTTAAGGGGACCATTGGCAAGATAGAGGGTTGGTTGCCCTGAGCAAGCGTGCAAAGAAATCCAGTGCACCTGGTAAAAGGTCTAGACCAGGGTAGGCAACTATGGGCACTCCAGATGTTGTGGACTACATCTTTCATAATGCCGTAACAGCCATGTTGCTATCAAAGCATCAGAGGAGATGTTGTCCACAACATCTGGAGTGTAAAAGGTTGCCTATCCCCTGGTGTAGAAGATTCTAACAGATCTGTGGCATTCGAAGCATTCCAACAACCTGCACTACTGTCCTGCAGAAAATACAGTGGTAAATAAATTAGTGTTGGTTTTCCAGGACCTGTAAACATTTTTCCCTGTAGTTAAGCTGACTCAGTAAAACGATAGCTTCTAGCAAGTCGGAAACCGGATCACTATCAACAAATGCTAAATATTATGACAGAGCAGTATAGTTGATTAATAACTCTGGGTATAGTACCGCGGATCATAAAAAAAAAATATATTGGCAAGCTTGAAAAAGCTCTTCCTTTTGAATCCATTATGTGTCCAGATTAGGGCTGGCAGATACATCATGTACTGCTGGAAGCATAACACCTCTATGCAATGATGTACAGAGCACGAAAAGCGCTGCCTTGCAGTTTGTAGCATCCATGTTGCAGGGAAGAAATCAGTTCATTAGTGATGGGGTTGTGCAAAGGAAAATGCTACCAGAATGCAGATATAATTTGTGGTTGAGAAAATATGGTGGAATTGGAATTCCTATGACTTCAAACCCTGGTGCTAGGCATGGTGTTGAGGTGGTGATTTACTATTATAAACTTTTTCTTTCAAAATAAGAAATATTTGGTAATTCTGTATTAAGGAGGTGAGGTTTGTCTGTTCAAAGTTTTGATTCCTATCATATTCAGCTGATTGTGTCCGTGATAGGGATCCTTAGTTTAACCCCTTAAGGACACATGACATGTGTGACATGTCATGATTCCCTTTTATTCCAGAGGTTTGGTCCTTAAGGGGTTAAAAGAATACGAACATATATTGCTAACACTAGAGGAGACCCTGCCTCCTTGGCTGCAAACATCAATGTTGATGATCTCAGACAATCCAATGCTTTCTTATAGGAAAAGTATTAGGAGGCCTCTGCACATGTGGTGCACAAATCTAATGGTCTCTATGAGACAATCTCATTGACATAGTCCAGGTTCCAGTATCACAGCCACTAGAGGTATTTAAACCCTGCACTGCAAACATTGCTGGTAATGATTTCAGTTGCAGTTTTAAAACTACAGGGGCACCGCATGGCACCTAAGTCACTTAATTGAGACCACTATAGTTGTCTGTGTGCCTATAGTGTCCCTTTAAGCCAATATATTGGAGGGGCCGTAAAATTGCACATCTCTTTATCTATTTACTGCCCAGCCTTGCCCTTGATTACAGAGCAGCTTGTACAAGCAGGGTTATAACCTAGAATACGTGGGGCAGAGACACACATAGGGTTAAGGAAACATAAACATATTCCTAACACAATAGTGCTAGAGTACATGTTTAGGTGTTCTGCTCCCCCTCAGAGTTGAGTTACAAGGTAGTTTACTTACCTCTTCTCCGATGCTGCGTCGGTCTCGCCACCGATGAACACACCTCCCTGGCTAAGATCAGCAGTCTTGAGGATCTCAACCAAATCAATTTTTCCTATAGGAAGGCATTGGGAGGCAATTGCGCATGCGCAGCAAAACGCCACACTGTGCCAAGCTGAATCTCCTCATAGAGATGCCTTGAATTAATACATCTCTATGGGGAGCATTCAAAGTGTGGAGATGCTGAATGCACAAAGTGCAGCACTAGAACTAGTGGCCGTTTGAGCGACTGCTTCTAGAAGTGCCACTAGGCAGCAATGTAAACACTGCGTTTTCACTGATATGACAGCATTTACATTGAAAAGCCTATAGGGACATGCTATAGACACCAGAAACACTACACAAAGCTGTATTTTTTTTCCATTTAAGAGCACTATAATGGAGATTGCTGAACATGCAGTCTGTATCACACTAAAAAATGTTTGAGTTATAAATTGTGGTAAATTAAGAGTAAATTGGATGACTCAGATTCTGCAAGTGAGTTGTGTGTGGTGGGGTGGGGTAGACTAATGTATGGATAAAAATGACATGATAATATGCTAAGCTGTTCTAGAGAAATGGGCTCCTAAAAGAATGGAGGCTACAGGACAATTTGGTAGGCAAAAAATACACACACATACGTTTTCTTTCTTTTACAAATGCTTGCACACACATTCCCACTTACATATATACACAAATAGTATCACACTTGCGCACACACACACACATATATATTTACATACACACACTTACACTCTTTCTCATACATACAAAGTCAATTAAATGATAAATTGAGCCATCCATACATTATGTCCTTAGTACAAATCACAACACCCCTATCTTATTTACATCCCCCCCCAAAGTATAACAATTCCCATCCTGCTATTAAGTTACAATGACAGGTTGCCTTTATTCACCTAACTTTTCACCTTTGCGGTGGTCCAGTGGCAGGTGCAGTAGGTGAGTGTGCCCACCCCAATCTCTCAGTGCGCCTGTGTGACTGACTAATGACGGGATGATGAGTTATCACGATATCGCTCCATCCTTTATCATCACAACCACAGAGTTAGGATTGTGTAGAGTTAGAAAGATACTGAATTGAAGAATGTTTGTATATTGTAATTAACATCATGCTCAGACAAATCTCGTCTACTCCTGTATGCTCCATCACCCACAAAAATTGGAAATACGCACAACTCCAATTACGCTGAGGCAATGCTTTTGTGGTCAAGAGATGACCGTCCTGTTCTATGATGTGGAAAATTACTTCTTTAGATGTAGGAATAATTGGTTTTTATGTATCCCCTTCAATTTCAATATTTTTTCCTCATAACATGTCAAATAAAAATGAATGCAACTATATTTATGCTATTATCTTTTTATCTGTGTAATGTTAAACAGACATACAAGAGAACATAATGGACGTTGTAATGATTTTAAGCCAAGCAAAATTCAAGCTCATATTGAAAGTTACAAAATAGTTTCCAGATCAATTTCAATGTCCAGTTTCTGGAGTTTATAATGCTTAACTTTTTATATTCCAATTAAAAAAAATTGAGCAAATTGCATTTTAATAATTACTGCAATGCAATTCCCGAGCCAACTCTTATCCACTGTGACTCTCACGGTGATATTCAATAACATAACAATTCAAAGTTTAACATTTAAGGCCAAATTCTAGATGAACTAGAGTCGTAGCTAAATTAGAGAATTTTTCTGGTTTGGCAGGTTTTACCGTAAATTTTAAATTCTCTTTGAATTCTCACTTAAGTGTATAACCCTGTCTGTGTATCACCATTTTACAATTACAGATAAAATTGATATTTCTATTGCAGAAGTAATGCAGTGAGTGAGTGGACCACCATTTTTATCAAACTGCTTCAAAATACTTTCACACTGGACACAGGTGGACTGTGCCCCCAGCCTAATAATTTCAAAAAAACTACAACAGACTTAAGTGGTTATGGTGCTTAGATTGAATCTATAAGCAGACTGATGCTCGCAATGTTTGTCACATCCAAAGAGTAATCATAACAAGTCTGGAGGGCTTCCATTGCTCCTACAACCAAACCCCAAGACAAGACAGAAGTCTTCTTGTCCTCGAGAAGCTTCATGTTCATACTTTTTGTGTATTAACCAAACAGGCTGTAAAATATACAGCTGTACATACAAGACATTTACGCGTTGCATATGAACAGCAATAATGTGTAGAATGCATGCACATCTGGTTAGCAACTTGTATTTTAGCCAGTGTTCCCTCCAAGGAGCAACACTACATTAAACAAAGGGGATAAGGACAGTACATGATGCTATTGTAGTTACATACAATGAATTCTACATGAGAAGACCTTCGGAACTATTTCCTTCATTGTATTGCTCACCATAGGGGAGTGGGAACATTAATGTCAGATCAACGCACATGGCTCGCCAAGGCGCGCAAGCATTTAACTTAGGTCATTCTAAACGTTGTTTAATTTTGAGGTCTTGGTGCAGTTGACTGTACTCTGCTTTGTTTTATCATCTTATTTATTTATTTTATGAGTGATCCAACACTCAATTTGTACAAAGAAATATATAAATAACAAAAAAAAAGGATTTTGGCATCATTTCAAACCCATAATAATACTTTTTGAATGATGTAAAATAATATAACCCGCAAACATGTGTGAAGACTGTGCTTTGGAAATTGAGAACAGAAGACGATCACGTGATTGACCATGTGCGGGTCCCAGGAAAGTTCTCTGGTTCTCCATCACAGGTGCTAATAAAGAGACATGGTTGGAATTACAGAAACCTGAGGTTTATTAAACATTTCAGAAATCACTGAAATACTGTATTAGCATTAACTCCTTCAAGACAGATGACATTCCAGCGAATTATATAAAACATTTACCAAGCCCTGCATCTTGGAGGGGTTAATATGGTGCATGAGTCTTTCTGTTGCCAGTAAAACGTTAAGCTTTTTTTTTTTTAATGGGGAGGGGGTGGGGGGTTAGGGGTTTGAGGGAGAGGTATGGCAAATGGTTCCTTAGTTTTGCACAGGATTTGGGAAAATTATTACAAACTCAGCTGGAATTGGTATCCTAAGCTCTATAAACACTGCAGTCTATTGTGCTTTTGTGCTCCGATTCTACAAAGGCATTCTGTTTTATTTTTGTAAAACAGTTTTCAAGCAGTTTGACAAACGAACAGGGGTTTCCCTGATACACAATGCCCATCCCCTCTGCTGTCAATGTTATAATGTGTAGCGAATGAGTGTGAATGGATTTTACTCATGAAAACTGACAATGAATGCGCACTACCTTGAAAGTGCCATAGATCAGTGTTTCCCAACCCAGTCCTCAAGGCACACCTACCAGTCCAGGATTTAGGGATTACCCAGTTGTGTCTAAGGTGTTTTTACAAAGAAGAAAAAAAACACCTTAGACACAACTGGGTAATCCCTAAATCCTGGACTGGTAGGTGTGCCTTGAGGACTGGGTTGGGAAACACTGCCATAGATGACCATTAACAGATCAAATATATATTTATAGTTTTCCCAACCAGTATACTATTTGGGCTAACATGAGATATGACAGCAGGGGCCACTTGATTCCCACAGTCCACAGATAGCATGCCTGGTATTAAAAAAAGGAATTGTGATGTTTCCACGTTTGATTGAAATCATATAGTAAATGGGTGACCAGGAAGTAGATCTGCAGGAATTGATCATATGATCCTTTCATACACACGCATGCCCAGATACGTATACACATATACTTACATTCATAGATTTACAGACACAAACATTCATACACTCACACGCACACAATCATATACACATACATTCATTCACTCACACTTTCACACACATACATTCATACACTTACACACACATGCACATGCACACAATCATATACAGGCATATGTTCATATACACACACACACAAAATCATATACACACATACGTTCATACACTCACACACACAAACATACATAAATACCGTATTATCTTCCCACACACATGCACACACCCACAATCATATACACACACATACAATCATATACACACACATACATTCATACACTCGCACAGATTTAACTTTTATTTAGATCTTTATCCCTGAGGTCCAGTGGTTTGCTGTTGGATGCAGCCTGTGCAGCTCCCTGCAGCTCTGTACTGATGCAGGGGCTGGGCCACTGGGGTGATGTTACATCTTAGCTCCCAGCATTAGTACAGCACAGTGAGGGAGCTGTGCAGCCACACAGCACAAACTAATTCCCTGCCACTGGTAAGGTCCATTCAATTACGTCAGCAGAGCCAGTAGGTTTGTTGCCTGCCCTGGTGAGAGGGGGCACTCTGTGCATCCCCCTGTTTCCTGTCATCCAGGGAGGACCTCTTCCCCTCCAACCCCCCCACAGTTAGAACACCACTATCTGAAACAGCTGAGAATCTACCTTTTGGCCACCATGCTATAGCATATAGTGTACCTTTATTAAACAATGTTGACGTATACACATAAAGAGAAGTATGTATAAAATGATCCTGTCAATGCTAGGTAAAATAGGCAATGGTCACGGCCACCCATTGACATATTGTTCTAATGTTCCTGTCCTTTAAAAAGAAACCATGGAGAAAGAACTGGACTAAATGTTTCAGTTGTGCATTTACTAATCTGATCCAATTTATGTAACGTACAGTGCAGTAAACTAAGCAGCAATTCCCTTCATGCCTTAGAAATTAAAAATCGGATCAGTTTGTGCCAGAATGTTGTTTTCCTCTGATACTGATCATGTTCTAAAACCAGACATCCACTTGGTTTCATTCCTAGCAATGACCTACTGGTATAGTGTGGTTGGTGTATAGCTTACCTTCCTGACCAAAAGATGATGGCATTAAAAACCTGTCTGTGTCTAACAGAGATAAATAACCTTAGAGACTCAGATGTTTCTGAAATGCATTTCGTAATTCTCAGGAAGTGAGGTTGTAGTTCTTGATCCTCTGCATATCCTGGTTTAACTACTTATGATTCATAAACTTTGTTGGAACAAACTACAGTGGAAGCAATAAGTTCACCCTTCAAATTAGCGTGATTCTTTCTTCATTGCCACATGTTTAATATTTTTAATTTCCACAACATTACACTAATAACAACAGTAAGTCACAGTCCACAAATTATTTTGAAGGTGAATTATTTTTGCATGCTTACAATAGATTTGTATTAATATTGCTATGCAGTTTCCAAACAGCAGGACATGCTGTATGTTCAATCTTATCTGGTCCAAAGCGCACAAATCAGAGATAGTGCACATCGGGTTGCATAAACAGTTTTAACTCCTAAAAGGCAGACAATTAAAGGGTTACTCCAACCACCATGACCACTTTTCCTTTTGATGTCATAATGAGGATTTTATGTCATCATCTGCACAAATATTTGTGCTGTGTGATCACACATTGCTTGCTCCTATCATGCATTGATAGTCCGTGAGCGGGAGACTATAACTGGATTTAGCCCCACAAATGGCTTCATCCATTCCCACACAAACGGCTGATGACCGATATTTGTATAGATAATGAGGAAGTGAAATGATTACTTTTAAAATAGTCAGAGGGATTGGGCTTAGAGGGTCCAGGAATCCACAGGTTTTTGTCAAAGCACTTTAAAATATATTGTGTTTATAGTGTCCATTTAGGCAAGGCAATTTATTTTACTGTAAAGGAAAACTATAGGGTCAGGAACACAAACATATATTTCTAACCCTATAGTACAAACACCGTCTATTCCCCATGTTTCCCGTTTCCCCCCTAAATATAGTAAAATCTTACCTTTATTTTGGTCTGCTGGTGCTGGCTCTGCCCCTGAACTGCCTGGTTGGATGACATCATCAGAAGTGATGATCTGAGCCAATCACAATGCTTTCCCATAGGAAAGCATTGGATTGGCTGAGCTTGTCAAGGAGACAGATCAGGGGGCAGAGGTAGCACAAACCAAGCACAGCCTTGGCCAATCAGCATCTCCTCATAGAGATGCATTGAATCAATGCATCTCTATGAGGAAAGTTCAGTGTCTGCATGCAGAGGGTGGAGACACTGAATGTCAGTCAAACTGTGCAGCACTGCCCCAGGAAGCACATCTAGTAGCTATTTGAGGAGTGGCCAGTTGAGTTATCACTAGGCTGTAATGTAAACACTGTTGTTTCTCCGAAAAGACACTGTTTACTGCAAAAAGCCTGAAGCGACTGATTCTACTCACCAGAACAAATACAATAAGCTGCAGTTGTTCTGATGACTATAGTGTCCCTTTAAGTTTTAATGTGCATAAAAGATACCTGTAGTGTAACTTTAATCCTCTGTAGCTAGAAACACAATTAAAGTGCCTAATTTTCCTCCCTGCTTTATATCAGTACCCAGTATATCGACAAAATAAACAGAACTTTATTTCACTGCGCAGTTTTCAGTCTCTTAACATATTACATATAAGGATAATTTCTGGGGGAGAGATCTAAAAATAGAAGTATCAAAAGATACATTCCATCGGTTTCCAATAGCCCAAGTTGCTCTTTAAATATAACCTCCTTAGTGTTATAGGCATTTTCTAAAACACACCCTATAGAAAATTCATAAATAATTATGTTATGGAGCAATTTCAAATGGTTACTACCTAACAACAGCACAACAAATAAAATAAAAAGGTTTGATCTTTCTGTTTAATGACTATGATTGAGCAGTTGTGAAGAAATTATTTTGCTATTCCGAAATGCTATGGAAGTCATGTAAGCAGTACGTTTTGTAATGGTAGCTTTTTAAAAAACTAAAACTATTTTGCTGACATGCGTTTCTTGCTGTGAGAAATGTTCCATGCTATCTTTTTCCCATTTCGTTTCTGAGCTGTTTGTAGGTCTATCCTTGCAGTCTGACAAATGTAAACTTTGACATTTGTGAGAAATTTCACTGAGAATGCAAGACAATCAATCAGTCAAACAAACAAGCACTAGAAGCACTTCCTAGTGAAGAATTTCAATAATTTTACGTTTGATGTAAAGGCTGCTCCTCCTAGAGAAAAGATGGATTAAATACTTTTCTGAGTGAAGCATCAGATTGGCTGAGTGAGGTGATTGTCCGGTATGCACAGTAAATTGTCAGGTTTTTTCAATGAGAAGCATTGGTGTGGAACAAAGATCTCCAGGATGGTTGATTTCATCAAGCGATGTATTGGCTGCAGCAGGTAGAAAAGCACAGGATTACCAGTACATTTACTGGTGTTTTTTTGTTTTGTTTTTTAAAGGGGAGGATATGAATATTAAAGGAGCACTAAAGTTCCAGGAAAACAACACCTGTTTTCCAGGATCTATAGGGTTATTAGGTCCCCCACTCTCTCTGGGCCCCCCTCCCGCTGGGCACACTTGCTGACACAGACACACTTGCTGACACACACAAACACTGACAGACACACACTCACACATACACTTACTGACAGACACACACACTGACAATCACACTGACAGACACACTTACTGACAGACACACACACACATTAACTGACAGATACATTTACTGACAAACACACACACTCACTGACAGAAACCTTTACTGAGAAACACACACACACACTGACAGACACACACTTACTGACAGACACGCTCGCTGACTCACACACAAACACTGACAGAAATATACACTCACACACACTTACTTACAGACACACTTACTGACAGACACACACACACACACTCACTGACAGATACATTTACTGACAAAAACACACACACACAATTACTGATAGACCCACACACTTGCTAACAGACACACACTTACTCACAGACACACACACTCACTGACACTTACTGATAGACACACACACTTACATAGTCTTGCACACACACTCACAAATTAATTGTATTGCTTGTTGCTCCTACCTTTAGGAGTCTTCTGGGTCTTCTCCCCGGGGTTCAGTGGCTTTCATGCTCTTCCTGCAAATCTCTTCTCCTGTGCACTGTTTAGTGATGCAAAGCCGGAATGATGTCATACACCAACTCCCGGCATCACCAGAGAAGGCGGGCGAGGGGGCAGGAAGAGCATCAGCTCCAACAGCGCTCCCTCACCTCTGCATGCCTCCTTCCTCACCCCATCTTGGTATATAGCTGCAGAGTAGGAACCTGCCCTCTGGAATAAGCAGGTGACAACTCTGCCTTGCTAAATAGGCAACTTCTGTGCTCCCTGTGACAGGCCATTGGACTGCTCTGCCCGGCACTCCCCACCTCCTGGTGCCTGAGCGTGGTGCACCCCGTGCACCTGTCTAGGATTGGCCCTGACAGCCAGGTGGCTGGATTCAGGCTGCTTTGTTCTGGGATGGTTGGCGAACAGAGTCACATTTAATTTACAATAACAGAACCAGCGGTCTCTGGGCAGGAGACCAACCATTGAGAGAAGGATTAAAGAAACACTATAGCATTAGGAAAACATATCTGTATTCCTAACGCTACAGCCCTGATACCCATAATTAATCAAGTTCACCCCCATGTAAAAGAAAAAACAAATTAAATAAAATTAATCACCTTTTCTCTAGTGTCGAGTCTCCCTTGGTGCTGTTGCAACCTTCTTCTTGTATAATCATCCTGGAGGTGTGCTTTCAGGATGACTGACCAGTCCCATGCTCCTCATAAAGGAGTATTTGGGACATTAGGTGCATGATTCTTGCTGACCAACTGTGAATGAATTGCATCACGGTATGAGAGTCAGGATGCAAGATTTCAGGCTCTCATACCCAGAGGGATTGGAAGTGTGGCTTGAATCCATGCTTACAAGCTCTCAAACCCTTGAACTGAATGGTTTGGGAAGGTAGGAAAGGGGGGCAAGACTGCAGTCACTATAACAACATCAAAAAAATGAAGTTGTTAAAGTGCTGGTTGTGTCAATCAAAATCCAAACCAGTTTGGTTCCCCCTTCATTCTTCACATAGTGATTGTTAATGGGCCACAGATATTCATGTTTAACTCCTGGGCCCTAGGAGGCTTCCTAGGGGGTAACCTTATGATTAAACCTCCTTTGCATGTGGAATGGACATCCATACAAAGAAGAAACGTGTCAGAAGGTCTCTGCTAGTGTAGTGTGTCAGACCTGTACTGTAATTTCTTTACCTTCCTCTCTCTCTCTCTCTCTCTCTCTCTCTCTCTCTCTCTCTCTCTCTAAGGGGTATATTGAGCTCCAGTATTTAATTATATAGCCCTGTGCCTACTGTATGTAATAGACTACGACCTGGTTCCTGGGGGAAGTGCAGACATTATGACTCTCATTTCCCCATCACTACTGCAGCATACCTTACAACCTCTGCTATTACACAAATATAACAAAACCTATTAAATGATGGAATAGCAGTCACAATGTGAGTATTCACTGCATTGTCCTAAATCCAAACTGGAGTATTCTCTTTTTCTGTGACTTATGGGAGAAGAGTGACTAGAACTGACGTAAAACATAGTATGCGTTCATTGCCAAAGATGCTTTATTTTACTTACTTAAAGGTTTGCAACAGAGGTTGTAAAGGACATAAAGTAACTAAAAGAAAAGTACCCAAGACATTGAGGGGCTCCTACATATCTCACAGTGATGTCTAGCCTTCTTTAACCTATTGGTGAATATACCTTAAAACAATAATAATAATATTTATATATATGTATATTCCTGCTTTTTAACTTCTAGATAAACACAAATATCCAATATAAATAATGTAATTTTTTGACCTTACTGTACTAATTGCTATTTATATTATATTCATGCAGAATGTTTACGTCAAACACGTTTGATGCTATTAGCGATGATGCATTTACCGGTCTTCCCCACCTCGAGTACCTGTAAGTATAACGTGCAAAATATTATAATGTACGTCTGCAACATTCGCAACATAGAAAACAGAGCTGAATATAATCCTTGGAGAATTTATTTAATGCTGGTCTAGTTTCTATTTTCACTCACAGCTCAGCTGTATCTGTTAACTGTCAAATAATAACTGTTGCAATCAAGTCTCAAGGCCAATGCTATTATGACTAATTACTGCTCGCTTAGATTCTCTACCTTGTTATATCATGAGTAACACAGTTTTGCATTGGGCTGGTTACCATTAATTTACTGGCCATGTTTTTCTTGTATCCGATAATAGATGGGAACAGGGCTAGCATTTGATTGGCTAAATGAGGGGAAATTGCCAACTGGCTTCTCTGAATAGAACGACTTTGGTCATTAGTTTTATTTATTTTCTATTAATTCTGTTATCAATTATTATCAGGCCCAGCCACGCTGTGCTAACTGTTTTCTAAGCCTCGTGTTTGGTGAGTGTAGTGTATTTTGGTTGTATGAATTGTAAATATATTTTTTTACTTTTAAGCCTTGTAAACATTTTATTTTGTTCTTTTTTCCAGATTCATAGAGAACAACAAAATTAAATCAATATCAAGGAATGCATTCAGGGGACTTAAATCTCTGGTTCACCTGTAAGTAGAGAGTGAATACCTTTAATACAATGATGTTCTAATATTAAACTATTTGAAACTTAAACTACTTTAATACTGACCAGTCGACTGACAGATATACTGTATTTTTCCATATCTAAGACTATGTTTTTCTCTAAAAAAAATTTGGTTTAAAATTGGGGGTCGTCTTATACACGAAATGTCACTGCAGGGGTGGCGCCTGCCAGAAATGAAAAATTTTATGTCAAAAAATCCTCACTATTTTCAGTTTGACTATTTTGAACTAACATTTGAAATACGCTTCTAATTCTATACAATTCACAGTCAATGAAAAACTTCACAGCTTTTTTTTTCATCATTAATAAAGGTATTTACAATAATAATACTGATAAATTAAAATGGACCTTAATTTTCCAGGATTTTTTATATTATATTATTTTATTCCCCATATTTAAGAAATATGTATTTTTATTGTTTGAGAAATAAAATTAAACGTAGAAATCAACACCTGTTTTCTCCTGCATCTGGGTGCCTCCATCTTAGCTTCCCTGACAATCATTGTCATAAGCTCTGTTATTTGCAACAGGCAACCTTCATAGATAAAACATATGGAGAAAAAGAGAAATGAAACAATGTTTCTTCTGCTCATTTGCAATGTGTGCCTTGGCTGTGCCAGGATTTAACATGATTAATATAAATTTAAAAGAAAATAAAAAATTACATGAAAACGGTTAGCACAAGTTAGAGGTGACATCCATCGTTTTTTTAAATTGTGTGATTTCCATAGAAGTGAAAGGTCCTCTTACACCAACAGAACTGTGACTTTTACGAAAAACGATTTACTCACCAGCCTAATTTCTTCTTCTCACAATCTTCTATACAGAAGCAATAGGCATTGTTTGGTGTATTCATTAACTTAAATACAGTTCATGTAAGCATTTAGATTTTTTTCACTTCTTACATCAATTTACCCAAAAAACACGTTGCTATTGAATAGATCTGTTTCAAATTTCCCCATTACTCTCAATGTAACTTTTCCTTGGGGCTACTTGACAAATAGGAAGTTAACTTATCCCTGGCAATTCCTATATTTCCAATTCCAATGTTGTATGATACTACCATACAAAGGGTTAAAGTGAGTATTCGGTCAGCACTTACTCCTAGAGCTCTGTTTAACGCTGGGATGTAACACAAAGTCATGTTGACATCACGTTGGACAAAGATTCCTCACACACATGGTTTTAATCATCTGAAATTAAAATTACTTTTATCTGCTGTTTTTAAATCTCTGTTCTTTGCCCTTTCATTTTGAAAACATATATGAATATGACTAAAAGAGCTTATCCTAATTGTTCATAGATTTGGCTTATCAATTGCAATAACAGATGTTAATGTTTAAAAAACATTTTATTGTGTTTTATTGTGTTTTAATCTGGTATATCATGGGTAGAAGTAAGCAGACTATCTTGTATTTTATTTATTATGTTTCCTGGTGGGATCCCGGGCCCTGTCTGGGGCCGAAGTGCTGGGCGAGCGGCTCTTGAGCTGCCCCCAGCACGGCGCCGATCCTCAAGGCGCCTCAAAGTGGGGGTACGGAGAGGAGCCCTGTCACAGGGAGCCCAGGAGGTGGCCATCTGGCCACCTCAAGGCGCCCCCGAAGCTGTGCTAGGTAAGGCAGAGCAGGCACCTGCTTACCTTGATGACAGGTGCCTGCTCTGCCAACAAATCTCAATGACCGGAGGAGAGGGGGACAGAGAAACCAGGCAGCGAGTGAGGCTCTTCTTGCAGCCTCTCACTCCTCCCTCGCATGCCCTCTTTGATGCCAGGATCCGGAATATGATGTAATTCCAGCCCCGGCGTACTAAACAGCGGGCGAAGGAGTGAGGAGCTGCCCCACACTGGACTCCAGGGAGGTGATTGTTTGACTGTCAGTGAGTGTGTGTGTGTGTCTATTTGTCAGTGAGTGTATGTCTGTCAGTGAGCGAGTGTATGTATGTCAGTAAGTGTGTGTGTGTGTGTGTCAGTGAGTGTATGTCTGTCGGTGAGTTTCTGTGTGTGTGTGTGTCAGTGAGTGAGTGTATGTGTTTCATTGAGTGTGTGTCTGTCAGTTAGTGTGTGTTTTTGTGTGTCTGTCAGAAATCCTTGCACCGACCCTGTATTACAGCATTATTTACTAGAATGAAAATTCAAATTTAATGCCAAAGTAGCATAATTCAAAGCATAGTTGACGGATAGATTTTTTCCAATTTGATTATTTTTACCTTAGATTTGAAATTCACTTTGAATTCTTACTTTAGTGAATAACCCTGTAAATGGAGAAAACAGAATAAAAGAAACAGAAAAAAAAGAAGAAATGGAGGAAGAAGGCTAAAAGGAGACAATAATACTGAGAAAGAAAGCTCAGTCTTTGATTTCTAGAAGTAGAAGATACAGGAGAGATGTATATTACATGCATGGTCAGTGTTAATTTTGTCAACTAAAAATTTTAGTCACATTTTAGTAGACTACAACTTTTGGAGATTCAGTGGACTAAAGCTAGACTAAAACTATAACAATTCAGATGAATTAAATATGACTACGACTAAAATGGCTTTTTAGTCAAATGACTATGACTAAAACTAAATCGAAATTTGCCGCCAAATTTAACATTTCCAGAAGGGCTGTGGAAGGGGCAAACGAGACAGACCAGGGCTTGGGAGTGAGACACCTAGAGGGGTTGGGAAGACACAAAGAGACACAGAGGGGGGCTGGAGAAGGGGAAAACAAGACAGACCAGGGCTTGGGAGAGAAACACCTAGATGGGCTGGGAGGACACAAAGAGACTCAGAGGGGTTGGGGAAGGGGCAAACAAGAAAGACCAGAGCTTGGGAGAGAAACATCTAGAGAGGCTGGGAGGACACAAAGAGACACAGGGGGGCTGGGGAAGGGGCAAAAGAGACAGACCAGGGCTTAGGAGAGAAACACCTAGATGGGCTGAGGGGACACAGAGGGGCTGGGAAAGGGGCAAAAGAGACAGATTAGGGCTTGGGAGAGAAACACATAGAGGGGCTGAGAGGACACAAAGAGACACAGATGGGCTGGGGAAGGGGCAAAAGAGACAGACCAGGGTTTGGGAGAGAAACACCTAGAAGGGGTGGGAGGACACAAAGACACAGAAGGGCTGTGGAAGGGGCAAAAGATACAGATAGAGGCTTTAACTAAATCCATTAGATTTTAGTTGTTCGACTAAAATCTACTGGAGATTTAGTCAACTAAAACTAGACTAAAACTAAAACAATTAAGATGACTAAAATACGACTAAAACTAAAATGGCTTTTTAGTCAAAAGACCATGACTAAAACTAAATTGTTCCTCCAAAATTAACACTGACATGGTGTGGCCAAGTTAATAATTAGTACCTTTAAATAGGTCAATAGGTCAACTGAGAATTGTTGGGAATTCAAAGTGAATGTAAAGACAATTTCACATTCAAGACCAAAATAGCAGAACTGTGAACATTCTCCAATTCAGTTTTTGGTTTGACCACTACCTTACATTTAAAATTCACTTTGAATTCTTGAATTCTCGAAGGCTTCTTTGAACTCTCACTTTAGTAAATAGACCCTGTAAGTCTAGCCAAGGGCTAGGGATCCAGAAGACAGCATAAATGTTATCAACCACCAGACCTCAGGGCATACAGCAAAATTTAACAGTTAGGACAAGCCAAGGTCAGGATGATAGAAATTAAAATAAAAAATAAAAAGCTAAGTCAGGAGCACTAATCATAACATTACACAGCCATTTTCAAAGGCTAGAGAGATAGGCAGGTTTATAGAACTCTATCGAGGGAAGAACTGGTAAAACAGGTGGTTGCCAGGGCGTGTGCAGATATGACGCATTTGTGCACATGTGCTCAGTTACTATCGTGTTGATTTAAGCATTGCAAATTGATGTAAACAGCAAGCATCTGGCATCGGTCAAAATGAAAGCATGGAGTGACTAAGCCACAGAGATGAAGATAATGCTCTGTTTTCATGTAACCTTAAAGATACATACTGCCCACCAACAAATCACATAAGTAGAGCACATACAATTTTCAATTACCATCTTCAGTATCTGAACATGAGTAGCTTAATGGGTTACTGTAACTCTTTTTTATGAATTAGGTTTTTTTTAACCTAAAATGCCCTACTGGTTGTTTGAGTAACTATTTAAGGACTAAACTTGATATTTAGTAACCTCAGATATTTACTAACGTGAGAATTGTCTTTAATGGTGTGGAGTTCAGTGATATATTTATACAAATGGTAATGATTTGGAATGTTGATTAAAGTGCAGTTAACTTGCTGGTAGTAATATGAATGTATTATTTCTATATTGGCAATGCTATAATATTCAGTGTTGTTCGCATTGTTTTTTTCAATTTGATTTTTAATTGATTGCCGTTGCCTTGTTAAAGGATGCACTCTTACACAATAACACGTGTAGAACATATCGCAATTTTCCAAAGTGAGCTATTTAAAACTCATTTTGCGTAATTGGCACTGGATATGAACAACACTAAATCTCTACTTGCAGATGATATTGGCTCTGCTGAATGTTATGACAGCTGAAATTAACTTTTTTTTTCTTCGAATTGCTGTGATTCATCATTTGGGAAAATAATCACTAGAAACATGTTAGGCGTTAAAATATGTATGTGGGTGACTCTAACAATCGCATCGCACAGTAGTAAGTTTCCATGTGCAACAAGGTTTACACCCACTAATCTGACTTTTACAAAAGCTTTAGTTCAACTCTAAGTACGTGTGAAACAGAGTAGAAACACTAGGAGCTTGTATTAATGAAAGTAACACTTATTGCCAAGTTTTACATTCAAGCTACTTAGCTTAACAAAACAGAATACAGATTTGCACACAAAAAATTGTTTTACATTTTACAAGGCTACTTAAAATCACCTATCATAGCAAATCTGGGAATTCAGTACTGCATGGCCATATTGTGTTAAGCCCACCACTATATGACAGTATCCCAATATCGGTGAGTACTACACTAATTTTAACATGGGATTACCATGCTAACTACAATATGTACTACTTAAACTGCGTGCAGAGACTCCTCAATTTATGCTTTCCTGTGGTCACTTCCAAACAAGCACGTAAAGTGGATGGATGGGGTGCTCAGCCCAATAGGAATCTGGTCTGGATTCCAAATGTACACAAAAAAAGGGGATGACGTAGTGGTGGACTTAACACAATATGGCGATATGGTGTAACTAAATCCCCATATTTATTTGCTAAGATAGGTGATTTTAAGTAGCCTTGTAAAATGTAGGATATTTTTTTGTGTGTGCGCTGTTCCCTAATCTGTATTTTGTATATATTTTAATCTTTACCAATACTTAGAAATGCATGTTCTCGGCATGAACCCATTTCCTAATTTTTCTTAGCAAAACAGAACCAGAGATCTTTGGCCAAGTTGTACAGTGACTGCCAATTGACCTGATTAATTAAGCTCTTTATTAGAGCTTATCAAGTTAGAAAACTCTAATACAAACGTTCAGAGGCTTTATCATTCAACAGTTTGAGCAATCATCCTAATCCGTTTATCTATACATTGCCAAACTTCTGCATTGATGAAGTATTGTTTAAAATGTACTTATGTTAACTGCAACACTTATGGTATTAAATTAATGTTCTTATGTTAGGAATACTAATGTGTATTCCCAACATTGGAACGTTTTCTTAACTATTTAGATTTATGGGCCCTCCTTAACTATTTAGATGTATAGATCCTCCTTAAATAGTTAAATAAAGAGTTTTACTCACTTTTAGCCTCCTGGTGCAAGCATCCCAGGACCACAACAGGAAGCACCTCTAGTGACTGTCAGTGTGAAAGCCAATTAGAGGTGTCCCACGAAAGTAATATAAACACTGCATTTAGTCAGAAAAGGCAGTGTGTACAACTGACACACTTCAGGAACAGTTCTGCACCAAAACCACTTCATGTCTCAGGCAGTGGTTCTGGTGCTTAGAGCGTCTTTTTAATTTCTAAGCTTTCTTGTACACATGTAGCAATCCATTGAGTGGTGCTGGATAAATGGAAATGTAATTGAGTGGCAGATATGAATATGCAGGTTTAAATTATGTTACATAGGCTGAAAAAAGATGCATTAAGTTCAGCCTTTCTTACACCTGTTTCTGCTGTTGATCCAAAAGAGGGCAAAAAAAAAGCAGTTTTGCAAATTTTGCAACAATGCTAGGAAAAAATTAATTCTTAACCTCAGAATGGCAGTCAGATCTCTCATTGGATCAAGAAGCTGTGAACCCATTTTGCAAGAATTCATCCAGTCACTGTTTAAATATCTGTACCAACTCTGATAAAATCACTTCTCCAGGCAGAGAATTCCATATCTTTATTGTTCTATGTTTAAATGTGCCTTCCAAGAGATTATAAGTGAGATTTTGCTTTCACCCCTCTTCATAATTATAACCTAAAACTTTACCTCTGAATTCCTCACAATTCCCTATATTTCATAAATAACTCTTTTAGTTTCAAGACACAAAAAAGCAAAAAGTATGGTATGTTAAAAATTAGTTACTTATTGTGATTATTTTATGCTATAATTATTATTAGTAATTCCTCCTCCTTCAGATGAGTTTGAGTAAATATGATAATTAATTCATAGAACAATATATATGTATTTGTGTATATATTCTCTTGTTTAAAACCATAATCGTTTATTTCTTTTGACAATGTATCCAGCTACTAAATGTTATGATAAAAAAAAAGATAAATGTTTATGTCATTAAAAAAGAAAATTGTGCTCTATACACAAATGAAAATATCAAATAATCAACATATGAAAATAAATAAAAAGTATAAGGAAATCACATTGACTGCTGGAAATATTGTCATAGAGTCATGCTGATAGCAGCAGCATCGATAGGGAACAGAGGAACTCTTCAGAAGGCTGGAACAAAACAGAAGATGAAGGAACTCTGTTCTAGAACTGCGCCGTATACGTGTGTTCCGAGTTATATATATGTAGTTTTGCTATTCCACACCATGGTATTTAACATGAAACTTGTGTTCAGTTTAATTTGCACGGGTGAAGAATTGTTCTTCCTCTATTTGTACAGATGTTTCTGATTACTTCCTCAAATCTAAACCATTTAGGTGTAATTTGTTTTTTTGTCTTTGTAGTACCTAAATAGTTTCAGGATAAGTTATGTTTGTGAGTTCTGTTCCGTTGTATTGTAGTTGTAGTAAAGCTTTTTTATAGTTGGTGCTAGCTCCCTCTAATGGCAGCAGCAATAACAGCAGCAACTTGAAACAGTATATGATGCTATATGTTTATGATTCTTAACCAATTGAAGAATTCTAGATGTATAAAAGCAGGGCCGGCCTTAGGTCTTTAGGCACCTTGTGTGAGAAATGTTTGCGGCTGCTCATCCATTTATAGTGTGTCTATAGGGATCCAGTCTTTGTATAGGTACTTTATTAAATAAATTATTATAAAGCACCAAAAATAGGGATAGTAATAATATTCATTCCCCTCCCATGCTGTTACCTTGAAGGGGGGGCATGCTAATTTCTGATGGTCCACTGTGGTGGTAATCTGGTCTGCGCCTACGTGTATGTTATTTAGTTTGGGTGTATTGACTGTGTGTGATATCTGTGATGGGTATTTAATTCAGATTTTAAAAAATGCATGTAGGCCCATGTGTGAATTCCGTTGTATATTTTTGCAGTATCACATGCACACAGTTCCACAGTCAGACACAAAGTCAGATTCACAGTTATAAACATATACTGTCAAATATAGCCAAACAGTCCCAGGCACATCGTCACTCGCACAAAGTCAACTGTGTGCGTGTTACAGGCTGAAAGTCACACGCACACAGTTACAGACAGCCACACTCAGTCACAGGTATACACACACACACACACACTCACACACACAGTCACACACAAGCAGTCACACATACATACACACAGTCACAGGCAGACAGTAACACACACAGTCACAGGCAGACAGTCAAATACCGTTACAGACAAACAGTTACACACCCGGTCCAGACAGTTACATACAGTTATAGGCAGAGAGTCACACACACAAAGTTACAGGCTGACACTCACACACACAGTTACAGACAATTACAGGCAGACAGTCACACACACAGTTACAGGCAGAAAGTTACACATATATCTACAGCCATACAGTTACACACACAGTTACAAACAGTCATACACACAGTTACTTCCTTCCATTATGAACAGTGAGGGAGGAGTGAAGGCACTGCTGTCCCTGGTTTCTAGTTGTTGGGGAACGTGACTCCTTTCTGCTTCCCCTCATAGTGCAGCAACCCGGCAGTGGCTTCATGCTGCATTTAGCTCCGTTCCAACCTCCCTTTATTGTGGCTGGCTTTTGAAACTCTGCCACTGCGGTCTGTGTGTGAGCAATGTCTGCTGCCCAGCGCCCCTGCTTCCATGGCGCCCTGTGTGGCTGCTAACATTATGTTAATGCTAACAGAAGATTAGAAAACAAAAACAGAGACATAAAACAAGACTAAAATATCACTGGGAGTGGAGTCATAATAAAGAGTGAATTACAATTCTGTTGTAAGGCTGGAAAATACTCTGCTTTCTCCCTATGCAACACATGGGCCTCTACAAAGCATCTTTGGCAGTACTGATTGCTTGCTCAGTCTGGGGTCTCATTCAACTGATGCCTGTCAGGGGTACCTCACATTCCTGCAACATATCATGGTATTGCAAATCTCTCTGGGCCTGTGACCAGATAGATGGAGCTGGTCTCCTAGCAGGGACAGGATCAGGATGATAGCAAGGTGTTGCAGTCTTCTGGACCCAGGAACCATCAGGTGAGGTATGTGAGCTTGTCAGGTTGGGCATCTCCATGGTGCCTGATGTTCCTGGTGATGTCTCATGTAAAGCTTCAACTTCTTGTGCTGGGGAGGAGCACGCAGCTTGGTCCACCGCCATGATGAGGACCGTTTTGCAATTAAGGCCTTTGAAGCCTTCCTCTGATTTGGAGGTCGCATCATGGGTTGTTGGCTACTTGGTTGTTGTGAGGCAAGGGGCAGTGCTCTGCTTTCCAGTCTGCGCCAAAATTCGGCAAAGATTGCGTCCAGCTTGTGCCAGACTCCATGATGTGAGCTAGTAGGACTGGGGAGACACGCTGAGTTGTAGGCTTGTTTGTATGGCTTTGCTCTGCTCTCCCTCTAGGTCAGACTCGTCTCCCAGGGGTGGACCGGGGGGGCGGGGTGCGGAGGTATTGGCCACTTGTGGGAGATTGGCCACCTCTCCCGCCCGGTACACACAAAGCCACATGTTGTGAGGAGTGCGGTCATTCGGCTCCAATCGGGTCACAGACTGTAGTATCGGCTCCCAGCCAGATTGTGATTCAGGTGGGTTGTCAGTTGTCACCCAAATCGAGCTGTATGGGGCTAAAAGTGGCGTTAATTGCCCTGATTTCTGAGGAGCTCTGATAGAAAACAGCTCTCCTCCATGCCAGTCAGACCCCACCCCCTGTAATTGTAGTCATGTGCAATTTGAATAATACTCTGTTTTCCTTTTACTAAACTAATCTGAGTGAGCTGTGGTATGTTTGAAGAAAGCAGGAGTCACGTTCTATTTGTAGTTATTCTTGAAATTAGATTTCTCAAACAAAGTGTCCATATATCACTTTTGTATTTAATTAGTTTTGGTCTCTGACACAGATCATTGATTTAGCAAATTGCAGCAAGCCAATACAAACCCTGTTACCTTTATAGTTATAACTCATTCCCGAAATGACCTTGTGTATCAATTTAGGGTTTTGATACATTAGCAATTTCAGGAGTTCTGTACAGTAAAATGTAACTGATTTTATTTCCCACGTATAACGAGGACCCAACTCCCCACAGCCCGCTGTTGTGTTCTTGTGTGATGATTAAACATTCCTCTTTTGATATCATTTATTTACTGTTCATGGAGTTATAAAATGGTAGGGAAAAATTGGAATCTATACATTGTGCTGCTAGCAAATTTCTTTTCTTCAATTGTAAAAAAGACAAGTCCCTCCATTCTCTTGTCAATCATTTCTCAGGATAGCGGTCTATGCTAAGACTTGAATGACAGTGATGAGTAGATGAAGCCTTCTACAGAGGTTTTTTCTACATTCCATCGTAGCAACTACAGCAGTTTTACTCCAGTTGCTATAACTATACCTTTGGCGAGTGAATGTCATGCTGTGCTAGAACATGTTTCCCAACATGTGTTCTAGCACCAGTAATATACATTTTTTCATCTTTAATCTAATTCTCAACCACCGCTGCCGACTACTGAGCACAGAGAAGGTAAAGTGAGACGGGCGCCAGCTAAGAGAGAGGAATCACAAACAAGTGCGGCTCTGTTGCTCTATTACATTACTAGTGAAGTAAACCAAGATATTATGTGTGCACATACTTCTACATTTGTCAAATTAATATCCTTCTTTCGTTGGTACTCTGCTACTCTGTCACATGACTTTGCTTATGTTTAAGCACATGGGCGCAGGCAGGAGTTTTTCCAGGGGGAGACAAAATATGCTCCCCCCTTACTCTTCTACCATACCAATTCCTCCTCCCCATTGCCTACCTTTGTTGGATCAAGAGAAGGATTTCCTAGTGGCGGTAAATTTTAGTTAACTATTAATAGGAAAAAAATCATAGGATGATGGTAGCAGGAGCTAAAAGACAGGTATGTACCTATGCAACATGAGTTTACAGTAGCTGGGATGGTAAATATCAGCCACAACTACACCAATTTGCAATCTCCTTGGCATTCAGTCAGTAATGCCTGACTGTTAATCATGGGATCTGCAGACAACCACAAAAAGTTAGTGTGTAATATAGTCGGGGCCGCCACCAGAAATTTTGGGGCCCCTAACTGAACTCAGGGTCTGGGCCCCCTGGGGCCCACCTCCAAGACCGCCCACAGGGACTGCCTCCAAATCCCGCCCACAGGAATACACACACAGACACATTCACTGATACAAAAGGACACAGATACACACACACACACACACACACATACTAACAGACACACATACTGATATGCATATAGGCATACATAATGACACACACATACTGAGACATATACACATGTACAGACACACAGCTGTACATAGTGACAGACAGACACATGCTAACATACATACAGACACACATGCATAAGGACATACAGACACAGACACATTCATAATGACATACAGATAGACATACATACATTAATACTGGCATACAGACACTGACATCTATACATACATACACAGACATACATTCATACAGACAGACATACATGCATACAGACACTGACATCCATACATACACACATAATGACATGCAGACATCCATACACTGACATTCATACACACATAATGACATACACTGACATTCATACACACATAATGACAGACAGACATACATACAGACAAACATGCATACAGACAGACATACATACATACAGACAGACATACATACATACAGACATAGACATACATACAGACAGACCTGCATACATATAGACATACATACAGACAGACATAGAGATACATACATACAGACATGCATACATACATACAGACATACATATAGACAGACATACATACAGACATAGACATACATAGACATACATATAGACATGCATACATACATAGACATACAGACAGACATGCATTCAGACATACATACATACATACATACAGACAGACATACATACATTTACATACAGACAGACATGCATACAGACATACATACATACACACAGCTCATTTTCCAGCCACCCTCCTGTTTCTTACCTTTTCGTTGCAGGAGAGTGGCTGGGGCTGATGGGAGTAGTCGTCTGAATCTCCCTCTTCATTGCCGGGCGCGCGCTCCTTCCGCGTGACCACTTCCTCCCAGCAGCACTTGCTGCGGCTGCTTTTTTTTGTTTTTTAAAGGGGCCCGTTCGCGCTATACCACGGCCACAGCACTGACCGGGCCCCTGAAGATACAGGGCCCATCGGGTGTCCCTTAGTGCATGAGCCACCCGATAGGCTCCATCAGCGTTCGGGCCCCGGTGCAACTGCAGTTCCGCCGCTACACGTGGGGCCCCCAGGGCAACCGGGCCCGTGACAACCGTTATGGTTGTCACCCCCTGATAGCGGCCCTGAATACAGTGGCCACTGTTTATAAGTACATTTCCCATGAAGTTCAGCTAGCAGTATGGCTGGCTGAATGTTATTGTAGAGTCACTTAACAAAAGTTGGTGTTTGTACTGTAGACTTAGTATAGTGCCCCACCCAGCTACAGTAAGCTACTATTCCGATAATGATCAACTATCAACATGGCTTGCTCAACATCATGGAATTTGCACTCAACAAGTTGTGTACTTAGTAGAGCTCTGTATTATAAATAAAAGGGCAGTTAGAAGGTAGTAAAAATGGACATAAAGGCTTGGATCCAAAATAGTAAGATTGCTAGTTATGCAGCACCGGTGGCTAACCTTTGGCAATCCCGATGCTGTTATTAAATTTATCATAATGGTCGGCCAATCAAATGGATGGCTGAGAATCATGAGATGTGCATTCCACCGCAGCTTCAGTACCAATCTATTATGATATATTAGCTAACCTTTGGCATGCCAGTCTGGCTTACACTTATGGGAAAGGAAGTCTTTACAGCTAGAATATTAACTAATCTTAGCTACAACCCTCACTCCCCAAAACTCTACTGAATATATCTGTGATTTAATTGTGACCAATAAATTCTATGAAAAATAACTTATCTCTAGCTCTTATTTCCACATCAGTACATTTTCCTTGTTATGTTGCGTTGAATAACTTGTAAATTTTTATATAAGCTTATTCCCTCATTGCTCAACATTTAAATATTTGAATGCAGTCACTAAGCTGTTAAATGTGTTGTGGTGGTCCGCATGTGATCCTCTGGTATAAAAAGGGTTGGGAACCACTGTGCTGTGCTAGAGGAATATACAATTGTGTTCTGTCACCAATAAACTGACATGAAGGTGTGCCCTGCTTTGGGTAGTACTACTAAGCGGGTCCATTTGGGTAGGAGTATGATAGTGGCACCATGGATGCTGGGTAGAAGGTAAGTAATGCGTTAAAGAGATATTCTAAGCACCAAAACAACATTAGCGTAATGGAGTTTTGTCTATAGATCGTGTCCCTGCAGTATAACTGCTCAATTATCTGCCATTTAGGAGTCAAATCACCTTTGTTTCTGTTTAGGCAGCCCCAGTCACACCTCCCCTGGCTGTGACTCACACAGCCTGCATGAAAAACAAACTAATTTTCAATCAGATGTGACAGCACAATGTGTTTACTTTCAGGCTTTTTAAATCTCCTGCTCTATTAGTTGAAGTTTAATCTCACACCGGAAGCTATTAACAGAGCAGGAGATAATACATTCTAAATTAAACCTCCCAAATGGAAGAGAATTGAGCAGGTAGAATACAGGGGGATAATCTATACACAAAAACCACTACATTAAGCTAACATTGTTTTGGTGCCGATATAAATAATTTATTTCTAGGTTAATTCTCATATTTCAAGCACTTTATTTGATTGCGTGCAGAGATAAGGTAAAGAGAACTGGTCATACCAAGTCCAAACCATTTAAAAAATCTTTATTATTTTTCACAAGTTTTTGATGTGATATTGCTTGTTCCAGAAGGAAAATGATTTTTTTGTATCTGATTTTTCATATAACTATGGACTTAATCCAAATTCCCATTCCCATACATTCCAGCTTTATAGGACATGACGGTTAAAAATTGTTTAAAAGTATGATGATCATACACTTTTTTCCCCCCAGAAACGCAACAAATTATAAATAGTTCTGTTTTTCTCTCTCTCTCTCTCTTTTTTTATATATATATAGAATGTGCTCAGCTATGTGTAATTTTATAAGGAAACCATTTTGCTGGTCTGGTGTAATTAAATATGTTTATAATATATGATATATATTTCTGTCCTTGACATGTCATATTCTTCAACTTTTCCATTGACAGCTTGATCTCTGACTAATCAGTATTCATCATTTATCTTGCAGGAGTCTGGCAAATAATAATCTTCAATCAATCCCAAAAGATGTTTTCAAAGGCTTGGATTCGCTTAGGATTGTGTAAGTGCAATACAAAATAATTTTGCATCCCAAAGCTTAATTGTTTATCAAGTAATGCATTGTATATTTTTCAGGTCTAACGTTACAAATAATTTATGTAACTGTCCTATGATTAGTAGACTTACTGTGTTATGCCTCATTAGTAGACCCTCATTAGCTTTGGAATAGATTATATGAGTCTTAAGTCAAGGCCTTAAAACCCATTGGGACCAGTTGACAATGTATTTCCCTGTTAATCTTGAGTGATGGATCAGAAGTAGTGATGTCCCGAACTGTTCGCCGAACAGTTCGCGAACGGTTCGCCACGGTTCGCCACGAACTCCAGTCAGCAGACACATTCCAGCCAATCAGCAGCAGACCCTCCCTCCCAGACCCTCCCACCTCCTGGACAGCATCCATTTTGAAGCTGCATTCTTAGTGAGCTGTCCAGTAGGTGGGAGGGTCTGGGAGGGAGGGTCTGATGCTGATTGGCTGGACTGTGTCTGCTGACTGGAGTCCGCGGCCAACCGTTCGTGGCGAACCGTTCGTGAACCATTCGCGAAAAGTTCGGGACATCACTAATCAGAAGACAACATCAGTTTCAAAAACACCTCTTTGAACAAGGACCAATCACACCTTCTTGGCTACAAGAATTCTAAAATTCAAAAATTGTCACCATGGAAACATTGGAATGCACCTGCTGATAACACCTCTTTAGAACAATACACCAAAATGTCTTGTTAAAGGACCATTATAGTGCCAGGAAAACATACTAATTTTCCTGGCAATATAGTGCCCTGAGGGTGCCCCCACCCTCAGGGACCCCATCCCGCCCGGCTCTGGAAAGGGGAAAGGGGTTAAAACTTACCTTTCTCCAGCGCCGGGCGGGGAGCTCTCCGCCTCCTCTCCTCCCATTCGGCTGAATGTGCACACGCAGCAAGAGCTGCGCACGCATTCAGCCGGTCGCATAGGAAAGCATTTACAATGCTTTCCTATGGACGCTTGCGTGCTCTCACTGTGATTTTCACAGTGAGAAGCACGCAAACGCCTCTAGCGGCTGTCAATGAGACAGCCACTAGAGGCTTTGGAGGAAGGATTAACCCATTTACAAACATAGCAGTTTATCTGAAACTGCTATGTTTATAAAAAAATGGGTTAACCCTAGCTGGACCAGGCAACCAGACCACTTCATTAAGCTGAAGTGGTCTGGGTGCCTAGAGTGGTCCTTTAAGCATAGTCCCTTACTTTCTTCCCCAAATAATTGCAACACATTTTCTTTCTCATCCTATGCAGATTATATTTCTTTATTGTGTATTTAGAAAACATTCATTTATAGGATGAATTCTTCTCCCCTTTTTTTTTTTTTTTTTTTTTTTAGCAGGAAATGATTCAAAAGAATGTTATTTAAAGGGATAGCACTATAGCCACCCCATCCCATTGTAGTGCTTATGGCGTTATAGGCTGCCAGTTCTAGGTCAAGCTGTTGGCAAGCTGTTTGACTAAAACTATTTGTCTGCAAAGCACCTAGAGCTTGCGCTCACCCTTGCACTGCCTTTTAAATATGGATGAAATTACTTTTCGTGAATGATACTTACCCCAATAATAATACGGTGAGCAAAGGGATGGCTCACAGGTGCCGCATTACCACCAGTTTTTGTGACTCTGAACTAGTCCAATGCCGAATTAGGTTTTTATTCTGACTCTAGTATGGGAAGCACTAAGAGCGTTCAGCATTACTATGCTGTGTGTGATGTCTTTCAGCTTTCTGAAGGTCATTATGAGGAAGCCAAAAAGTCTCTGAAGGAGTGTTCAAAGTGACAAATGTCCAAAAAAAAGGACAGCATCTATGAACCAATTCTTTGAAGGTGAAGTGGTTTCTTCTGCAGCCCTATCCTTTTCCTCCAACGTCAATCCCCTCTGATGAGGGGAGGACATGGGTAGCATGGAGAGGGTGCTTTCATTGGATACCTATTGACAGTACGCTGTGCATGCTGATATCATGTGTCCAATATGCACAGAAATAACATTAGCCTTCCGGAATAGTTTTTTTTGGGGGCTGTTTATTACATACTAACAATGCTGTGGGAAGTGGTGTTAGACCCCCGGCAGCAAAAAGGTTAAACTCTATTTGCGATACATTTCATGGTTAAACGCTGCACATACAGGCTGCAGGAACCTTGACCAACTGTGAGTATGTGTATATATGCATATATATGTGTGTGCTAACTGAATGGAACTTCATTCCCCTTAGATGGTACTTTAGTTAAATAAAAAAGATCACGTGCCACCTCGTGGTGAAGTGAAGAAGTCCATTCCTTCTATTTACTGTAGTAAAATATCAACCACTAATTATTGGTCGGCATTTTGTAAAACTAAAAAGGCAAGGCACAAGATTATGTGGCTAACAAGTTGACATTTAGGTTTTAATAGTAGTTTCTGATAATTTCAATTAAATTTGAATTTATAACAAATATTTAACATTTTGTAATGTGAGAGGTAGTGGTTTTGTTATCGTCTGTTTTATCAGAAGACAAGTCATTTAATGTTGATGTCATGTATTTGAATCTTCATGCTCACAAGAAAAAGTAAAACATGTAGTTTTGTTATTTATTTGACTTTAAAGAAAGACAAATAATTGGCAAATACTCTCTTATCGGTAACATGAACAGAACATGACTTTGTAAAGGCACTCTTCCCTTAAGTGAAAATATTACAGATAAGGATATTTTTGACATTTATACTGAATTAAATAATAAATAGACCATTTAGCCATTTCACTACTGAGAGCTTTCCTTAAATTAATAAAGAGAAGATGTGTTTGAAAGACTGAATGCATAGTTAGTATGTACGTCAATGGTTAACTAGAAATCAGCTGGTGTCTTTCAGAATGCAAATTCCAAAAATGTTATCACGATATAAAGTTTTTGACTGTATCATTAAGCTCACATAAATTAAATGCAATTGCCAGGCTACCATAGACACCACCAGAGACCAAACACCTCTTATATTAATGTCAGTCTAGGTCTATATAGGCTGTTATTGCAGAGTACATGTATAGGGTGGCATTTACCTAAAACCCAGCAGGCTGCTTTTCAGCAACTGTGTCCTTTTGAAACAGGTAGGTTTACGTCCATTAGAGCAGGGTCTTCTTCACCTCTTGTATCTGTCAACATTATTTTTATCTATTGATTACATTTAACCTCACTCCATAATTGTAAAGCGCCAAGGAAATTGTTAGTGCCATGGCGTATAATATAAAGCCTATTTAAACTCAAACTGATATTGACACATAGAACTCATACATCCTATCTGCAGTTTGAGCTCAAACCAGTAATTAGCAACGAACAGATGAATTTACTGCCGGTTTCTGCTTCTCCACATCTTTCAATTTTATTTATATTTTTGCATGTATTTGTGATGTTTATTATGTATTATTCCTAGTTTAGTATTGTTTTTTGTGGCTTTACAGATCCTTGTAAATCATCACAACCTTTAAAATAATTCCTTTCTATTTGATGACAGTAACTTTTCTGTCCTCCTGGTGGCAGGGACGGATTAACATAGGGGCTGATGGAGCTGCAGCTCCAGGCCCAGGCCCAGGCCCATGGAATAGGCCCATTGATTTAAAAAAAAAACCAAAAAACAAATATATATATATATATATATATATATATATATTTTATTTATTTTTTTCACACTACTCTTAGGGATTCCACCTGGCTTTTATTTTATTGGCACAACCAGTATTTGAGGCTGCCTGGCTGGTGCCAATATTGCAGTGATATTACAAATACAAATGCTGGTATTTTTCTCAGTATAAATAAGAGATTACTATGCAATACCAGCACTGGCCAGTAGGGGTCACTGTGTGTGGAGACAGGCAGGGATAGGAAGTTCAGCAAATCCCTCCCTGCCTATCTATACTCACTGATCTGCAGGGGTGCAGCTACAGAGAGTCCAGACAGCAACTCCCACCCTGCAGAGACAGCCTACAGCTCAGGGAAGTAAGGGATGGGGAAAGGCTGCAAGGAGACATACACTGAGACACTAAGGGAAGGGACATTGGGAGACATTATGGCAGACACTGAGACACTAAGGAGGGGCATTGGGAGACATTATGGCAGACACTGAGACACTAAGGGACACTGGGAGACATTATGGCAGACACTGAGACACTAAGGGACATTGGGAGACATTATGGCAGACACTGAGACACTAAGGGACACTGGGAGACATTATGACAGACACTGAGACACTAAGGGACATTGGGAGACATTATGGCAGACACTGAGACACTAAGGGACACTGGGAGACATTATGCCAGACACTGAGACACTAAGGGACATTGGGAGACATTATGACACAGACACATGGGGACACAGTGTCCCTATGTCTCCCAGTGTCCCCATGTCTTCCAGCCAGTGTCCCTGGTGTCTCAGTGCCCCTTAGTCTCCCAGTGTCTCAATGTCCCCATGTCTCCAAGCTAGTGTCCCTAGTGTCTGTGGCCCTGGTGTCTCAGTGTCCCCATGTCTCCCAGTGCCCCCATGTCTGTGATACATAGGGACACTGTGATACATAAGGTCACTGGGAGAACTGGGGACATGACACTAGGGGACACTGGGAGACATGGGACACTGAGACCTGGAGTAATCGACACATGGGGACACTGGGAGACATGGGGGCACTGGGAGGAATCCATCTATACAGCATAATCACACTAAGTAGTTTTTTGGTGATTTTACAGCATTTTCTCTTATGTCACTCCTTGTGATTTACATCATGTGATGTTACCCATACATATTTAATTAGTAAGGCCGGTATGTTTTTCCAAGAAAGGTGGCAACGCTAACTACTTTTCACATACTCTTACTTAAGTATGGAAACATAAGAGGGATGTATGGGAACAAAACTTGTGTGGACTGGCTGACAATGAATATAGTTAAAGGGACACTATAGTCACAAGAATAACTACAGCTTATTGAGTTAGTGTCAGGATTACTGTTTGATCCAGCACGTAGAACTGTACAGCACGTATAACAAATAAGTAACGTATTACCGGTCCTTAGAATGGCCGGATTTAACGTACAAAGAATAGTCAAAAATACTAGCCGAGGTCAGGGAACACAGAAAGGGACACAGCGATGAGGAAAGCCAGGAGTCAGGATACCAGAATATAGAGAAGTCAATAAACAAAGCCAAAGTCAAAAACCAGGTAGAAAACTATAAACAGGAACGCGCTCTCAGACAACCACAAGGGAAACCACGACAGGGCACTGAGCAGGCTGAGAACTGGGCCTAAATACCCCTCCTTTAGTTCTGATAGGCTGTAACCGGCCTTTGACCCCAAAGTCAGTTACCAGGTTTCATTTGCATAATTGCTGCTCAGCATTAACCCTTCTGTGGATTAGGTTGCTGCTCGGCACAACTTTTCCTGTGTGGACAGTAAATGTCATTAATCACTTTTCTCTAAGCGGATGAATACATGACACCAGGTTTCATTTGCACAATTACTGCTCAGCATTAACCCTTCTGTGGATTAGGTTGCTGCTCGGCACAACTTTTCCTGTGTGGACAGTAAATGTCATTAACCACATTTCTATAAGCGGATGAATATGTGACATTACCCCCACCTGAAGAACGCCCACCGGGCGGACAGGACCAGGCTTGAGAGGAAATTTAGCGTGAAAAGCGCGGATCTTACGGCCCGCATGCAGGTCAGGAGCCGAAACCCAAGAACGATCAGCAGGACCGTAACCTTTCCAAACAACCAAGTACTGTAAAGTGCCCCGAGAAAACCTAGAATCCACGATAGAAGATACCTCATACTCTTCCTGACCACCCACCACCACCGGAGGGGGAGGAACACAAGGAACAGTATATCTATTGCAGACAAGAGGTTTGAGTAAGGACACATGAAAAGTGTTGGGAATCCCTAAAGATGCAGGAAGAGCCAGAGAGTAAGACACTGGATTGATCCTACGAAGCACTCTATAGGGACCAAGGAATCTGGGGGCAAACTTCATGCTAGGGACCTTAAGCTTGATGTTGCGAGATGACAACCAAACCCGGTCCCCCACTTGGTACACCGGGTTGGCACTCCTACGCTTATCAGCAAAATGTTTGAAGCGTTCAGCAGCAGCCCCTAGAGCAGTTTGAACCTTAACCCAGGTATCCCGAATGGAGGCCAGACGCTCATCCAGAGCAGGAATGGCAGTATCAGAAAATACCGCAGGGAGAACCGTAGGATGCCTACCATTATTGACAAAAATGGACTGTGCCCAGAGGAGTCATGAACAGCATTGTTTCTAGCGAACTCGGCCCACGGGAGTAGTTCGGACCAATTGTCTTGTGTGCTATTAATAAAACAACGCAAATAAACTTCTAATGACTGGTTAGCCCTCTCAGCTGTACCATTGGTCTGTGGATGGTAGGAGGAGGAGAAGGAGAGATCAATCCCCAATTGTTTACTGAACGCCCTCCAGAACCTGGACACAAACTGAGAGCCCCTATCAGACACAATATTGTGGGGGATGCCATGCAAACGGACAATTTCACGTATGAAAATTAGGACCAAATCTTGCGAAGATGGCAACTTCTTGAGAGGAATGAAGTGAGCCATCTTAGAAAATCGGTCTACAACCATGAGAATAGTAGTGAACCCAGCAGAGCTAGGAAGCTCAACAATAAAGTCCATGGATAGGTGGGACCATGGAATCTCAGGAACAGGAAGAGGCTGCAACAGGCCACAAGGAAGTGCATGAGTCACCTTAGAAACTGCACACACAGAACATGCCTGCACATACTCCTTTACATCTTTCCTGAGTGAATCCCACCAAAATGATCTAGTGATCGCGGCAGTGGACTTATTGATGCCCGGGTGTCCAGCAGTTATATTGTCATGGAACACTTTCATGATATTAACCCTTTCACATAGGGGAACGAACAGTTTATCACACGGTTTACCACTGGGCGCCTGAGGCTGGGCCTCCAGTATGGTGCCAAGCAGTGGAGAAGACAGTGAGAGGACAGTAGTAGCAATAATACACTCTGCTGGAATAATAGGAGATGTCATCTGTTCCGGAGCTGACTCATTATCAAATTGCCTGGACAAGGCATCAGCCTTGGTATTTTTAGAACCAGGTCTATAAGTAATGAGAAAGTTAAAACGTGAAAGGAACAGTGACCATCTAGCCTGTCTGGAAGACAAACGTTTGGCATCCCCTATATATGCCAGATTTTTGTGGTCGGTTATGATCAACAGGGGGTCCTTGGAACCCTCCAAAAGATGTCGCCACTCCTTGAGGGCAAGAATAATGGCCAACAGTTCTCTATTGCCAATATCATAGTTGCGCTCAGCAGGAGACATCTTTCTGGAGAAGTAGCCACAAGGATGCAATGGTGTTTCCTGGCTTTCTCTCTGAGAGAGAACAGCCCCTACCCCTGTCTCGGATGCATCAACCTCCAATATAAAAGGTTTACTGGTGTCAGGATGTTTTAGTATGTCCGCAGAGGCAAATCTTTGTTTAAGAGTCTCAAAAGCATTCACAGCCTCTTTGGACCATACCGTGCTACTAACCCCTTTGCGAGTCATATTTGTGATTGGGGCTATTACAGAAGAAAATCCCTTGATGAATCTTCTGTAATAGTTGGCAAAACCAATAAACCTTTGAATGGCTTTTAAACCAGAGGGTAATGGCCAGTGTAGTACAGCCTCTAGTTTTTTAGGATCCATTTGAAATCCCGATGCAGAGATGTTGTAACCCAAAAAGTGGACTTCAGGCTGGTCAAATATGCACTTTTCTAATTTACAATAAAGTTTATTTTTCAACAACGTCTGCAGAACCTGTTTCACATGGGAGTGGTGAGTTTGAAGATCAGGGGAATACACCAAAATATCGTCCAAATAAACCAAGACAAATGAGTAAATGAATTCCCTGAGTACATCATTTATAAAGTCTTGGAATACGGCCGGGGCGTTGCATAACCCAAATGGCATTACCAGATATTCATAGTGTCCACTACGGGTATTAAATGCCGTCTTCCACTCATGATTCTCTTTAATTCTAACCAAATTGTAAGCGCTCCTAAGGTCAAGCTTAGTAAATACTTTAGCTCCCTGAAGTCTATCGAACAATTCGGAAATGAGTGGAATAGGGTATGCATTTTTTACAGTGATTTTATTAAGTGCCCTGTAGTCTATGCAAGGGCGTAACTCACCACCCTTTTTCTCAACAAAAAAGAATCCTGCACCAGCTGGTGAGGATGACTTTCTTATGTGCCCTTTGCTCAAGGATTCTTTGATGTATTCCTCCATTATTTTACTCTCCTGGGGAGATAAGGCATAAACTGCCCCCTTAGGTGGCATAGCGCCTGGAAACAGGTTAATGGCACAGTCATATGCTCTGTGGGGAGGCAATACATCGGATTGAGCCTTGTTAAACACCTCCTGAAGTTCTCGGTATTGTATGGGAACTCCAGGAGTTTGGGGAGTGGTAGTGGGAAGGTCAATAGTATCCAATCTCTTTAGTACTGGTTTTATACATCTCCCCATACACTCTTTACCCCATTCTAATATCTCCCCATTAGCCCAGTCAATATAGGGATTGTGCTTACTCAGCCACGGAAACCCTAATATGATAGGACATGATGGAGAAGTAATAACCTGAAACGTCATCTCCTCCCTATGGGAGGCCCCAATGGAGATCGTAATAGGGACAGTTTCGTGGGTTATAAGCGGTTGTGTGAGTGGTCTACCATCAATAGCCTCTACAGCTAGCGGCGTAGGTCTCTCCCTGACCGGTATCTCATTACCCCTAATAAACTGTACATCAATAAAATTTCCAGCAGCACCTGAGTCCATTAGGGCACTGCAAGAAAACTTCTTGTTATCAATGGAAATAGATACCTCAAGGAGGAATCTACTTTTGTTTTTGTTAGAGGACAACTCCATCACACCTAAGATCTGTCCCCTTAAGGTTCTTAGGTGCGGAAGTTTTCCGGACGCACTGGACAATTAGTTATCATATGTCCCTTTCTACCGCAATATAGGCATAACCCCTCCCTTCTCCTATACTGTTTTTCGGCCTCTGACAGTCTAGTGACCCCCAACTGCATAGGTTCGGGTTCGGACTGTACAGGGAGGTTAGACAAAACAGGTTTAGAGAATTGAGGTGCTAGGGACATAGCCGTACGTCTGGTCTTGCTTCTGGTGACTTCTCTGAGTCTTAACCTATTATCAATATGCATGACAAACGTAATAAATTCGTTAAGACTCTTAGGTAATTCTTTAGCGGCTATCTCATCTAGTATAGTCTCTGAGAGAAACAGAATAACAAAGTGGGGGGTGCAATAAATAGAATGAATAGTACAAAATATAAATACTTATTCGTAGTAGTAGTAGGAACTTAATCTGTAAAACACAAAAGTCCATACATAGTGTAAAACTGTAAATAGTAGAAGTAATAGAAGCAAAGGTATTGGGTCACTCACAATGAATAGAGCCTAAAATAGCAGGCTCTAGCTTGATTGCATGTGGAAAATCAGCTTTTCCAGGCTATTCAAGATGTCCCCACAGTCTTCCTATAGACACTGGTGCTGGATTCCAGATGTAGGAAAGATGGACAAAAAGAATTCTTCAGCTTTAAAAAGTATTTACTTCAATAAAATAACAAGATAAATAAAAATGTAAAAATATATAACATTTAAAACACAACGCGTTTCGACAATAAGTCTTTCTCGAGTGTACAGTCCTCTTCTTCCGGCATCCTTTTAAATCTGTGCTACCGGAAATTAGATTTCCCGCCGAGTTTCACTTCCGGTATGACGTCATGACGTACGTTCCGTCGCTGCGTCATGACGTGTCGGCCGTCATTGCGTCATTTCGTCATTCCCATGCGTCCATTCGGCAACCCGGAAGTGACTGCAGGGCTCCATTCAGACTGGGGGGACATCTTGAATAGCCTGGAAAAGCTGATTTTCCACATGCAATCAAGCTAGAGCCTGCTATTTTAGGCTCTATTCATTGTGAGTGACCCAATACCTTTGCTTCTATTACTTCTACTATTTACAGTTTTACACTATGTATGGACTTTTGTGTTTTACAGATTAAGTTCCTACTACTACTACGAATAAGTATTTATATTTTGTACTATTCATTCTATTTATTGCACCCCCCACTTTGTTATTCTGTTTTATCACGATTTGGGAGTGTCTTTGAGTGATTTTGAGACACTGGGGGTAGTTGCTATTCTGTGTACAGCGCCAATCCACCTATATTTATTTCCTTTTGGAGGAATATTTCTTGTTTGTTTATAGTCTCTGAGAGACCCTTTTTGAATGCTGAGATTAACCCATTGTTAGTCCAGTCTACCTCGGAAGCTAAGGTACGGAATTCAATAGCATAATCCGAGATAGACCGGTTACCTTGTCTGATGTGCATTAGGGCAGTGGAGGCGCCATCCTCTCTACCCAATGGCTCAAACGTGAGCTTGAATTCGGCAAGGAATTCCTGGTAATTATGAGCTATGCTCCGATTACTCTCCCACAACGGATTAGCCCAGGCAAGGGCCTTGCCCTTTAATTGATTCATTAGATAACCAATTCTTGCTCTGTCCGTGGGGAATGACCCTGGTGAGGCCTCAAAATGGTACTCCACCTGATTAAGAAAACCCCTGCATTCCTGGATATTGCCATCAAACTGTAGGGATGGTGATAAGGAGATGCAAGGAGTCCTATTAACAGTGGGTGGAGGTACACAGGGTAGAGGTGCTATAGGAGGAGAAGCTGCAGGCTGCAGATGCTCCGTTCTAGCGAGAAGCGTACTTAAAGCCTGAGTGAATTGATCCATGCGGTGATCATTCTCCTCTAATTTCCTCTCGCAAGCAGCTATGTGCTGACACAGTTCTACAGGATCTATGGCCATGTCGTAATGTCAGGATTACTGTTTGATCCAGCACGTAGAACTGTACAGCACGGATGACAAATAAGTAACGTATTACCGGTCCTTAGAATGGCCGGATTTAACGTACAAAGAATAGTCAAAAATACTAGCGAGGTCAGGGAACACAGAAAGGGACACAGCGATGAGGAAAGCCAGGAGTCAGGATACCAGAATATAGAGAAGTCAATAAACAAAGCCAAAGTCAAAGTCAAAAACCAGGTAGAAAACTATAAACAGGAACGCGCTCTCGGACAACCACAAGGGAAACCACGACAGGGCACTGAGCAGGCTGAGAACTGGGCCTAAATACCCCTCCTTTCTTTCTGATAGGCTGTAACCGGCCTTTGACCCCAAAGTCAGTTACCAGGTTTCATTTGCATAATTGCTGCTCAGCATTAACCCTTCTGTGGATTAGGTTGCTGCTCGGCACAACTTTTCCTGTGTGGACAGTAAATGTCATTAACTACATTTCTATAAGCGGATGAATATGTGACAATTAGTTCTGGTGAGTAGAATCATTGCCTTCAGGCTTTTTCCTGTAAACACTGTCTTTTCAGTGAAAATGCAGTGTTTACATTACAGCCTAGTGATAACTTCACTGGCCACTCCTCAGATGGCTGTTAGAGATCCTTCCTGGGTCATGGCTGCCTAAAATGCATCCAAACATTCAGTATCTCCACCCTCTGCATGCAGACACTGAACTTTCCTCATAGAGATTCATTGATTCAATGTATCTCTGTGAGGAGATGCTGATTGGCCAGGGCTGTGTTTGAATCATGCTGGCTCTGCCCCTGATCTGCCTCCTTGTCAGTCTCAGCCAATCCTATGGGGAAGCACTGTGATTGGATCAGGCCGCCACTTCTAATGATGTCAGCAGACTGCTTGTTTTTCTGAGTCTAACAGCGTGCAGAGTTACAGCTTCAGGCTTGAATACAGTAAGATTTTTACTATATTTATGGAGGCATGAGGGGCCCGGGGAGGTGGGGGGGGGGTGGGAGGTTAGATGGTGGTGTTAACACTATAGGGTCAGGAATTCATGTTTGTGTTCCTGACCCTATATTGATCCTTTAAGGTAATGCTGACTTTGGTCTCTCTAACACTGTAACATGTTCCCTTTCTTCTAAACTCACTAGGGACAGTCCTTAGAAAACATTGAGCGAGCGCATCATTAGATGCATTTATGCCAAGCTCAGGGTGCTGTCTGCATAGTATGCCCTTAGTTGGCCAGCTGCATGATTGGCAGTCAGTCTGACATGCATTCATGCCAGGCTGGCCTTCTAATTTTGTGGGCAGACATGTCCTCTTTTTGGGCATGTTCGCCCCTTTTGGCAGGTTACGTGATTTGTGCCAGTGGCACACCCTTTTACCATGCCCATTGACTTCCTGCTTGACTGGATACTGCTGTTAGGGGTTATGGATTTACTTGAAAGATGAAAACATAAATTAGAGGGAGATTAGCCTAGGGTATGTGTTTTCTTATAGCTGCTTCTTTCTCTCCAGCACCATCTCCATCAGATACATGACGCTTGGGAGTGTTTTACTGTTTTTGGTCGATATGATTCTTTAATTAGGCCCGTCATAATTGTCAGCACCAGGCCCACTGGGCAGTTAATCTGGCCCTGCCTGGTGGTGCTTTGCAGTACTGAGCTTTTAAGCAATGATTTATAGTAAGAGCCTTTTTATGAAATAATACACGCTGGCTAAAATCAGTAGGATTATAGTTATTCACAATTTTTTTTTTTGTTCAATGTTCAGAATATGCATACTCTGGGGATAATTTTTTTTACATATCTATAGAATTTTGCCTGTGGCCTAACAGGTTTAAAACCAAAGAAATATGACATAACTAGTACTTATCGGAATGAGCAGTATCCCTTGTAAGATATGCATTCCTAAATGTCTACACTGAGCAGCCACACCATTAAAACCACTGACAGGTGAAGTTAATAACGTTGTTAATACAATGGCGGCTCTCAAGGGGTGGGATATATTAGGTAGCAAGTGAACAGTCAGTTCTTGAAATTCATGTGTTGGAAGCAGAAACAATGGGCAAGTGAATAAAGTAACTTTGACAAGGGCCAAATAGTGATGACTAGTCGACTGGGTCAGAGCATCTCCAAAATGGCAAGTCTTGTGTTCCCGGTATGCAGTGGTTAGTACCCAGCAAAAGTAGTGCAAGGAAGGAAAAACAGTGAATCGACATCAGGGTCATGGACATCCAAGGCACAATGATGCACATGGGGAGCGAAGGCTAGCCCGTCTGGACTGATCACATAGAACAGCAACGGTAGCTCAAATTGCTGAGAAACGTAATGCTGGCCATGATAGAAAGGTGTCAGAACGCACAGTGCGGACTTAAAGGATCTGCTGCAAATATCTTGGTGCCAGATACCACTGGGCACATTCATAGGTCTTCTGGAGTCCATGCCTCAATGCATCAGAGCTGCTTTGGCAGCGGGAGACGGACCTACATGATATTAGGCAAGTGGTTTTAATGTTGTGGCTGATTAGTGTATATATAAAAAAGAATTTCTTAGCAATAGCTTAGAAATACTAATTTATTTGGAAAAACCACAGGCATGGAGATTATTACTAGAATACTGGAAAAACTTCTAGGCGAGGCAGTCTAATTTTTTGAAAAGATATTACAAGAGAAATACATGTCTAAAACTGTATCAGATAGTAAGTGGTATAGTAAATAAAAGTGGACAGACATGCATGGAGGATGCTATGCGTGCAATTAACAGATCATGTATTAAGAGATCATGTATTAAGCACATGGAAATATGCCAGGCGAATCTCCAGCTTTAAGCTGCATGCATATATAGAAAAAATGAAAATAAAACGTGACCACTGGTACTGGGTGTCTCATCAAGAACGCACTGTAACTCTGTCTCAGAAAACAAAAATGATATAAGACAACATGTCAAGAGTAACATTTAAGTGAAATGGCGGATGCCATACACATAAGACAGGAAATCTTAGGTGGCAGGCCTGGATTCTGCAAAGGTCACCATCATCTCATTCCCAGTACAGGGAGGCCACTGGAACCAGCAGGTCAGTAATGTGAGGCAGTTGCAGGGTAGGTGTGAGGCAGGGCTCCAGGCTGATGTATAGTCCAGCATCTCTGGGCCATGAACTCAGGAACTTCTGGTGACCGAGTTCCTCCTGTTTATGGAAGTGCAGGAGGGCCTGATGGTCAGTTGCCGCTTATGGTGTGCGGTCCTCCTCAGGTGTGGTGATGCATCCCAGTTTTGCTAATGTGAGGAAGAGCAGGAGTATACACAGATGCTATGTCCGACAGGGGCCCTCTCAGTCTCAGTCGCCAGCTCCCCTGATCACCTGCCTTAGGGAGATGTAGTGGTTCTCTTTTCTCTGGATCCCCCTAGCGCTCAGACCAGGTTTCTTGTGTGCAGCTCTGTAGTACAATAGTACCACTGACTTAATCTAGAAACGAGAAGGTCGGCCGACTCTCCCCGGCTCCATCCCCAGTAGGCCACAACAGAGAAGTCAGTTCCTCTGCAAAGTACAGTCACAATTCAAGTGTCAGAGAGGTCACATGGGAGCCCCCAACATAGATAGAGCTCTTTGGTGAGTGTATTTGCAATTTAACTGGGGTTGGCACTCCAAAATAGATTTACAGAAACTCGTGCTCAACAACACATCTGCTCTACATGGAAGCTAGGTTCCGCCCCCCACTTTCACTAGTACATTTTATCTCATTCCATCACCTTAATTATCTCTTTTCTTCATCTATTTATTAACTATTACACTAATTTTGGGGAAAAAAAACAGAGTGCAAGATCAAGGGACGTTGCTTTAGATGCAAAATGTCTTCTTTATATTTATTAAGTTGTGTTTGATGTCAACGTAATGTATTTTTGACCTTGCGTTCAAAATTACGCAATCTGTCCGTCTGTCTTGATGCCCTTTGTACTTGTTCCTCATTCCTAATAAAAATGTATAAAAACAAGAAATATGTATATATAAAATAAAAACATACTTTTTTTTTTCACTTCAAATATTCTAGGTCTCCTCTAAACATGTAGGAAAAAAACCCCAATACATTAGGTTATTAATATAAAACAGTATAATGACATTTTAAAATGTAATATTACATAATCATATTTTTCTCATGTTCTAACTGAATGCTTTGGAATTTTTAGAGATCTTCGAGGAAATTCATTTCACTGTGATTGCAAACTGAAGTGGTTAGTAGAGTGGCTGGACAGAACCAATGCGACGGTGGAACAAATTTACTGTGAAAGCCCCCCCGAATATAAAGGGCGTAAAATCAATAGCCTTTCAGCCAAGGATTTTGACTGTATAACCACAGGTACTGCATTTTAAATGTTTATTTGCAGGTAACATAAAATTGTGCATTAGTTAGCGGGGAGTGGGGGAAGGGGGTTCACTAAAATGTAGATTACAGTAGATTAAAATCTGAATGAGAAAATGAAGTCAGAAATAGGTGATCTAGAACATTTTCATCCTAGCTATAGTCCATTATTTTAACCAATAAGATACAGTTCAGAAAAAAATGAATATAACCTTTTATATACTAGATCAAGTATAGGCAACCTTCTCCACTCCAGATGCTGTGGACTACACCTCCATGGTGCTTTGCAGGCATGAGGTCTGTAAGAGCATTGTGGGAGATGTAGTCCACAATGTCTGGAGTGCCAAAGGTTGCCTACTCCCGTGCTAGATTATAAGAAACATTTAGCTTCTTTGATTTAAGGCGTGATAAATGGCATCTCCTATATTTAGGATATGTGTAAGAACAAAACAGCAAACCCCAGTTATATGTGTGTGATAAGTGTCCTATTATAGAATTACAGATACTGGAGGGATATTGGTTCTTTTAGAAAAATATTAAACATTAGAAACAATATAAAACATAGCCCAGAGGGTGAGGCTGAAGACCTGAGGATTTGGTCCATTGATACTTCTAGGCCCTGATAATCGAACAACAAAATACTTACTAGATTACTAACAGGGAGTGCCCAAATTGAAGAGTTTCTGGATGATTTTGCTGGTTTCCTGTTGAGAACATTAAAAGTGGAAAACCCTATGAACTTTCTATGTGTTACAGAATTTGCAGCCTACAAGTCATTACCCTTTCAGTCCTTGTCCGTGGATACTTTCACCTACATGAATGATGAATATGTAGTGATTGCTCAACCTTTTACTGGTAAATGTATTTTCTTGGAATGGGACCACGTGGAAATGTCCTTCAGAAATTATGATAACATCACAGGTGGGTATCTATACATGTTGCCACTTCTAAACAGCTTCAAAGAAACACTTCCACCCCGATATGAACTCAAGCTTGTTTAAGTTGTTTTGGCGGCTGGGGTGTCTAGGTTCCGTATTACCTTCAGGGTTTAAACCATTCTGTGATGGTCTAACCGTGAAGTTGAGGCTCTGGTGCCCAGCACTTTTGCCTCCCGGCTTCCTTATTCTTGGTGTTGAGTATGAGCTGGGCGACCGGTAATAGGCTGAAAGCATCAGATAAAGCTTGCAACCTTAGACTAGCCTTCCATTGAGAGTAATAGCACTATATTATACATTGATAGGCTGAAAGTGTCAACCAAAGTTGAGGTCTATATATTTATGTTAGCATTAGGTATTAGAGTTGTTATATGTATTATTTCACATGTATACCATAATACATTTGTATTATGCAGTTATTTCATTTTATAGCTTGCAGGTTCTGTTTTTAGATAACAAATCATTGTAATTGTAAGTTAGTTGTGGATATTGGCTTGTAAAGAATTATGGAAACCGAAGTCTAACAACTGTTGGAAACTAAGTTTGGAAAACCCTTTTTAAAGAAGCACTAGATTGTCACTGAATTAAATACCTAGAACCCAATCTAATTCTTATTCTTTCTATGCCCATAGGAACATCTACAGTGGTCTGCAAGCCTATAGTGATAGAGAAACAATTATATGTTATTGTGGCTCAATTGTTTGGAGGTTCCCATATTTATAAGAGAGATATTTTTGCAAACAAATTCATCAAGATTCAAGACATTGAAATTCTTAAAATCCGAAAACCAAATGACATTGAAACTTTCAGAATTGAAGACAATTGGTACTTTGTTGTGGCTGACAGCTCAAAAGCTGGTTTTACAACAATCTACAAATGGAATGGGAATGGATTTTACTCTCACCAGTCGGTTCACGCGTGGTACCGTGATACAGATGTGGACTACCTTGAAGTATCCAACAAACCTCATTTGATTCTGTCAAGCAGTTCTCAGCGCCCAATTATTTATCAGTGGAACAAAAAAAATAATGAGTTTTTTAAACATATAGAAATTCCAGACACTGAGGATGTGTATGCAGTCAAGCATTTCGCTATTAAAGATGATGTTTATCTTTGTCTAACCCGATTCATTGGGGATTCCAGAGTGATCAAATGGGAAGGTGGATCTACATTCCAGGATGTACAAAGAATGCCATCACGGGGATCCATGGTGTTCCAGCCTATCGAGATCAACAGTCATAAATATGCAATTCTTGGGAGTGATTACTCCTTCACTCAAGTCTTTCACTGGGATTCCGAAAAAGGAAAATTTGCTAAATTTCAAGAGCTGAACATACAGGCACCCAGGTCTTTCACTCACGTATCCATTGACAAACGCGATTTCCTTTTTGCTTCAAGTTTCAAGGGAACTACGCAGATATACGAACATGTAATAATTGACCTGAGCGCCTAGCCATCCATAGTTTAATACTGAAACAATAGACATTATACAATGGACATGATGAACTAAATGCATGGTAACTCTTTCTCTAATCAAACTTCTGGATGACTGGCTTTGAAGGGAATCTGTCAATCAAGCAGTGTTCTGGAGGATCATGCCGAGCTTTGCTTTCCCATGGGGTGAGCTGAGGCTTTTTAAGATTCATTGGAAACTAGTCCACTAATGAAGGTATTATGTATATAAAAAGCCTTTGGCTTTCTGAGACCAAGACTTTTGGGTGATATTTAAGGTCGAGGCTCCATGATGAACATAAAATCATTGTGTAAGAAGAACTGCTACAAATGTATACATCTGGAGGAATATTGGTTTATTATCGAAACCAGGAATTGTCAGGAATGACCATGGAATAGCCTATTTAAAGTCAAATGCTGGAATAATAGCGGAGTTTCCAAATGTCTTCAATCTAGCTATTATGTCATAACATTTTCAGTTACCTGGTAAATTTATGGAAATTGCCAGTTTACTGAAAAACCCTGATAATGTTTTTAGATTTGGTAGCCATTTCCCTTATTGCTGTCACAGACATAACCTCATTTGTAAATAAACATAGGTCAGAAATAGCAATTGAGTTGGGACTTGTTTTTTAACTCTTCAATTTACGTCTACATTTTGCAAGGTAATATATCAATGAAATAGGCCTTTGTAATGTGAGGAGGGATTACCAAGTGTAACCTCCAGCCTTTTCTTGTATATATGTTAATGTTTACTAGCAGTTCTTTTAACACAAAAAAGTAATTTTTTAATACACCACTGGAGGTATTGGTGGAAAGACAGGTTAATATCGAAGCCTAGGGATTCTACAAAAGAAGCATTACTCGTAAGTTTATTAGTTGTCATGTTTAGTGTTTTCGGGAGGGTTCAAACTTTTTAAAACCTTAATAGTTTTACTGGTCTTTGCATTAACAGTTTGTATATATTGGTGCAATATGCATATGTTCATCTAAAGAGAGAAATATAAATATATGTATACTTTTTCCATTTATTTATTCACCTGTTTAAAATAAAACTGCCAAATAAAATGTTTACATTTTCTGTCTCCCTAGTTTCCACCATTTCTTTAAACAGTTAGTTTTTGTCTTAAAGTGCTTTTTGAAGGAAGAACATTCAGAGATGTTTTTAAATTGGCATAGGCATCTTTTTTTTTAAATTTAAACTTTACTGTTTATGTTCACCATTGTCTGCCTGGAAGCCGCTGAACAAACACAGCTACCTACTCAACTTTGGTGTATTACACCCCCATGCAGATAGATATGTGGGAGTTCACCCCATAGTGAAGCCACGCAATGTAAACCTACCATGGGTATGAAAGAGCAAGGCTTCAAAAGGTGAAAGGTGAGGCAGTATCACCAAAGGGACTGGTTAGGGACATGACTGTCCAGATTAGGGAAGTGGAGGAATATGACAACTTCGGGGACATATCCGTTCAGGGAATGAACAAGAGGGGCAGGGGACCATTTAATAAACATTGAGTTGGAGTTGTATAGGTCTGGGGGAGCACAATGTTTTTATCACGGAGTAGACTACAATGACTTGAATAGAGAATCCTGGTAACTTATAATTGTGTTGATACACTGTTACATTGTCTAAGATGCTGTAAGGGAGACCATGCATTTTTCGAGATATAATATGTACTGATCAACAACTAACAACAACTAATATTTCATTTTTACAACTGCAACTAAGTACCATAACCACTAGAGCATGCTATAGTGGTTATGGTGCCAGGAGTGCACTGGCACCCCCTTCCTTATCTGTATTTTGGTTTTATTTATCACCAGAGATCTGCTGGGCATCGCACCCCATCTCCACTACATCTTCCAGTCCAACTGAAAAGCTCTCTGTCTGAGCTAAGACTGATATTGCAGGCCAAATTTTAATTGTATAATTTTGAAACAAATAGTTGTAGTAGGAATATACAATATATTGTATTTTTGGCAGTGATTATAAATTGCATTGTTGTGGAAATTGGAACTCATTTTACTAATTTCATTATTTTAACCCCTTCAGGACGGAGTCAATATTGCACGTTCTGATCAAAACAAAACGTAAACAAAAACTGGAATTTGCGCTATATGTCTGTTCAACCGTAATTCACCGCTGTCACATTAAGTGCACCCACACTTATTATATATCATTTTGTTCAGGAGAAACAGGGCTTTAATTTATCATTAACTATTCATATATGGAACATAATTTATTATGAATAAAATGTAAAATAATGTGAGAAAATAAGATTTTTTTTTAAATTTGTATTTCCGTCTGACATTTTAGCTGTGAATGTCATAATACTGTTAGATTTTTAAAAAAAATGCACATATTTGTAATCAGCGATGTCTCACGAGTACAACAGTACCCCCATTAACAGGTTTTATGGTGTTTTGGAAAATTACAGGGTCAAATATAGAACATTCCATTTTCAAATTGAAATTTGCCAGATTAGTAATGTTACCTTTGAGACGGTGTGGTAGCCCAGGAATGAGAATTACCCCCATAATGGCATACCATTTGAAAAAGTAGACAACCCAAGGTATTGAAAGTGGGGTATGTTTAGTCTTTTTTAGTAGCCACTTAGTCACAAACACTGGACAAAGTTAGCGTTTATATTTGTTTTTGTGTGAAAAAAGCAAAAAACTAATATTTGGCCAGTGTTTGTGACTAAGTGACTACTAAGAAAGACTGGACATACCCCACTTGCAATACCTTGGGTTGTCTACTTTTGCAAATGGTATGCCATCATGGGGGTAATTCTCATTCCTGGGCTACCATTTGCTCTCAAAGGCAACTTAACCAATCTGGCAAATTTCAATGTAAAAAAAATGAAATGCAAGCCTTATATGTGACTCTCTAACTTTCCAAAACACCATAAAACCTGTACATGGGGGGTACTGTTATTCTCGGGAGACTTCACTAAACACAAGTATAAGTGTTTTAAAACAGTAAAACATATTACAACAATAATATAGTCCATAAAAGTGCCGTTCGTTTGTAAAAAATGCAAAAAATTTCACTTTTACTTAAAATATCATCGTTGTAATACAATTTACCAGTTTGAAACACTAATATTTGAGTTCAGCGAAGTCTCCCGAGTAAAACAGTACCATCTATGTACAGGTTTTTTGGTGTCTTGGAGAGTTACAGGGTCAAATATAGTGCTTGCGAATTAAATTCTCTGCACTTTCTCGCTGTGTTGTCAGGCATGTCAATCAAATTTTAATTAATCAAATCACATAATTATGTTAAAAGATGACTTAAATATACACGTAGAATTTTAATATATATGCATTTATAGGTATTTAAATTCTACGTGTATACTAATGTAATCTTTTATGTAATTATATGTATTTATCTATATTTAAATATTTGCGGTTATTTGTATTTTATATATATATATAGAATGTCATTCTAAGTGTATTTTGTTACCAATATATATATTAATAACAAAATACAGTTAGAATGAAATTACATATGAATATATAATTTATATTAAATTTTGTTTCAATATTTTAATTTTATTTTTTATTTATTATTGTAATTATATGTATATATATATATATATGTATATGTGTATATATATATCTATTATATATATATATATATATATATATATATACATATATATATGTAACATCATTCTAAGTGTATTTTAATACTAATATATGTGCTTATATTAATATTAAAATACACTATGTATGACGTTACATATATATAATATGTATATATTATATATTTAATATATATACATATATTATATATTTATAAATATATATATTTTATTTTACACATGTCTAATTATTTCTTTTTTCCATTTCCTACCAGCAGATCCACAGCCAGCTGTAGGGGGCCATGTGATCGCTCTTTAAGAGAGATCACATGGCACCCGGGGGCCTCATTTGCCGTGGGAGGGCTGCCTGGGCTGTGAGGCAGTCCTCCCGAAGCAGAACGCCAGGAAGGTAAGTATCCCGGGCGCTCCAGGGCTCAAAGCCGTTACGGCGTTCTATGCCGCTGCAACGGCTTTAAAGTACAATTAAAGTGGGACGGCATAGAACGCCGTAACAGCGTTAAGGGGTTAAATGGACACCGTAGGCACTGTATCTGCTTCATCTCATTAAACTGGTTATAGTGTCTGGAGTCCCCTGGTACCATCATTTCTTTCGGCATTAAACAGTTTTTAGTGTTCTAATGCTAAACAAGAGTCCAATACAGTCCATCCCTCTGTGCTGCTTTGGCTAATAAGGAAGTATTAGCCTGAGCAGCAACGGGCAGCTGTGATTGGCTGACAGACTGATTTTAGCCTGTCAGAGCTCCAACTGACGGTATGAATGGGTATAACAACAAGGAAGTGTGTAATCTCTGCCTTAGCTACACATACAGAAGGGGCCGGACTGTGGGTGGCCAGGGACTCTTATTTTGTGGCATACTGCACGAACATGGTGCAACACTGAATGGAGGGACAGTGCCAGGGCACTCCAGGCACTATAACCAATTCAAAGAGATGAAATGGTTATAGTGACTACAGTGTCCCTTTAAAAACAGGTTCTGATTTGACATTTCATTACACTTTCATGTATGTTTGATTCGCTTTAGAGTCATCTGCAAGTCAGCAGTTATAAGAAAAAGAGCAAAGGTAGAGCCAACAATTAGGTACACTAAGAAAATGGGGGGTAACGCCAGGTAGAAATTATCAAAAAAGAAAAATAGTGTACCTACACAGCCTGAAATAGAAATCAGAAATTATGACTGACTGTCAAATCTCAGAGATACTAGACTAGTTGCTACCAGTGACAGTGCTAGATCAATAAAATATATATATATTTTTTTTAATTATAACAAAGCTTAACATGTGGTGTATATGCTTGTGTACAAACAGTGAACATATAAAAAGGTATTAGAAATCCATACCCTGTTAAAAATGCCTACTAGTATAATGAATTAATACAGCAATGTAAACAATAAAGCAGGACTGATTGAGACTGCACAGGAAGATTGGTAAGTATGGAGTCCTCACAGTGGAGTCAATCAGTAATAAAAATAAGTTGCTGTGGCAAAAGTAACCTCGCCACTGGTTTTTGGAGGGGCCTGTTTGCCAACCTCCTGCCCTGCGACTATGGCACTGGGATGTATTGCCCTTCTAGGAACTGATGTGGGCATACTTGATTTTATTATGTTGCTGCTGGCCCTTTAAGAACCATCTGGGGACATACTGTGGAGTTACTGGGTGGCCACCATTTCATGTATCAGAGGCACATGGTGAGAACAATGGATGAAGCACATGGTGAGAACAATGGATGGTGGCCATTTTAACTCACAGACACTGTTTGGACTTTTCTACACGGTGCCATCTCGCCGGTATTTGGTGCACATCGTGCAGTAGTTTTAAACTATAGAACAGGGGACACATTATACAGTAATTATTTTTCATATAGCCTGTATACGTTCTGCGGAATCTGCATTAAACTGTATCTTCCAAACTACTGAACGGATCTGGGTGAATTTTGGATATGTGGTTCACCCAGATCCCCCGGTTACGAGGATATACTTTTATGGGGTTATTGCATGTTTTGGGGTCCCTGTGATATGTTTGATAATACTGTATTTCTCTGCCTGTGATAATTATATTAACCATTGTGTTCAGTAATCATATCACAGGCAGAGGATTTTGTGTGGGAGTGTCTGTGTGTATTGTACGGATTGATTGGTTGTATTTCAAAACCCTGTGGGGAGTACTATGTTTGTTGATTGTGAATAAAAGAGGCTGTATGTGCCAGTACAGTAAGTTCTGCTTGACCTCAAAACGAAGTGTCGTCTCGTTATTGGGGGAATTGGATTGTATGCTGATTGCCAGGACTGTAAGCTGATTGTATGTTTTTCCTGTTCAGCTGCTTACAGCATTCATATGCTTGAGAGCATTGGTATGCTTCTCTGGTTCGGTGGTTGTGGTGTCTGCTGCAGTGCTTGGAGTCCTCAGGAAGCGCTAGGAGCATCTTTCAAGGAGGTACCCAGTCGGGGTGCCAGGCGATCCGTTACA